ATGATCTGCCTTTTATTCATTTTTGTACATTTGTAACCGTACAGAATTAAGTGTTACAGTTCTACATTTCTATAATGCTAATCCAGGTTGATTCAGTTACAATTTCTACAGTGTTTGGATATGTTTATATATCCATACTCATATCAGCATCGATAGATATGTACATGAAAAAAATCTGATATCAGCGTTGGCCCACAATTCTCGAATCGGTTTTTAGGTTTCTGTTAATTTCCTCTATATTTTTTTTACTTTTCATTAGTTTTAAGTCATAAAAAAACTACTGTCGTGTTTTGGTTTCAAGTTGAGCCTGTATTGCTCTCATATAGTTAAGCTGCGCTGACCCATATAGGGTTCCCTTAGTGGCAAAGCTTTCTAAGTATTCTTCATATCCTTCTTTAATGTAAGTCAGTGGAACCAGACTTTTTTCCAAGTGCTTTTGGGCCATTTCTTTTGGTCCATTCATCATGAAATTTACAAACAATGTAAAGGACAACAGGTATTTTTAAGACAATTATGAAAAATGACAAAAACAGAGATACAAAGTTTTGTTCTGACAGCAGCCATATAGTTTGGGCTTTATTATGAAACCCTCCATGATTAAATTTCCCTGAGGAGATTAAGTTGATTTCATCTTATTTCATTGAATCAGGGCTGACAGAGCAGCAAAAAACACTAAGCTGTGCAGTACTGTGGCCCTTTGAGACTGAGAGTTGAAAGCAGTAATGTGCAGTACACTTAAAAAAGTGATTCACTGAATCTGCTTGATTCAAATGTGTACATCATATTTTATTTCCATGAAAAAATCACATCAACACAGCCTTGTCTTTCAGTTTACTTTCTGTAGACAACAACTGTGTTGATCACTTTTTTTCAGAGAGGGCCAGACAGCATAAAGAGGATTTTCTGCTGTATCTGTGTCATAATGAAAGCCACAGTGTATTTCTTACTTCCTTGCTGCAAAAGAAGAAGAGATCAGCGTACAGTGCAGCACGACACTTTCAGTTTTAGCCTAGATTGCAACTTGACCGTGCATTACTTCAGAAGTATATAACGCTGGCACGTGGTGCATATATTTCCTGCGTGAAACACAAAATGAGGAGAGCTACAGCCTAAATGTGGTCTGAACAACGGTAACTAGCTAAAGGAATGTCCACAAAACTCTCTCTGTTTGGAGATGTGGCATTAAATTAACCAGCAACTTCTAATAACGGTGCTCATCAGACAAAGCATTAAACCACCAAACCACAGGAGAGAAGAAAGGCATGTGCTGTTGTCCTGTTGTTCTGTGAGGAAGCACAGCTCTCACATGTCTGATATACATATTTTCTTTCCTTTTATCAGTACTGTGTAGCCTCCTTTTGAACAATATCACATGCAAATATCACATGTTCACAGGTGCATTGTGTTATCGCAAACAGGACTGAATGGTACGGACAAAATTAAAGCACTGCAATTATGTTACATGTTACACAGTTATTGACTGGTGAGAGGCTCATTTGCATATTGCAGCCTACTGTGATATCAGTGTTACAATGTCCAGTAAGGTGAAAATAATTAACAGTTTGTAAGTTTGAAAAGCATATTCAATTATTTGCAGCGATACAGGACTTCAGAACATCTTGTCCTTGACAGTCTTACGAAGGAATGCCATTTGTTCTGATGAAGAACTTTTGAAAACATAAAGCAGTTCAGCCATAATTAAGCCTGAGATATACTTTAAATGAAAAACACGTTTAAAAGCAAAACGCCGTCTTTTTGGCAGTGGTTTGAGTTTGTACGGTGCGGTGGCCGCTTGCTGAACAGAACTCCTAATCGCCACGTTGTTCATTCTGAGACCTCCCCCTGATGTGACTGGTCCTAATCAGTATGTCATTCGTTCTGAGCCCTCCCCCTGACTGTGACTGGTCCACTTGTCACAAGACCAATCTGTAGACTACAGATGGACCAAAATGAAAATGAAAAACTGAAACTGAAATTCAGAACACACTTAGCCAAGAAGCCAAAAAACCAAAGTTTTTTTTGCTATCAATTTGTTTTATTTATATGTTTGAACTAACATACTAAATGTAAATAACTATCAGCAAGAAAATACATGTATTATTGATAAAATCTGCTTTCAATAGGACAAAACTAGGTTGATGATAAAGATAAATAAAGGCAAATAACCATATTTCATTGTTATCGTGATAAATTTCATTAATATGCTTTTCTATACTTATTTTCGGGGGACATCATCAGTACTTAAGAAACACTGACCGACTGCATGTCTCATTAAAAAGACAACATAATTAGTCCTCTTTGATTGGATTTAGTGCAGTGCAGTTTGTGAAACGTTAAATAAAAACAATCTGCCCAGTTTCTGACAGCTGTTTTGAAATGCATTTTGTCTGTGTGAAAATATTGTGATACGTATTGTGAATCCTGAAAATGTTTTTAATTATCATGATATGATATATTTGCCGTATTGCCCACCCCTAGCTGACAATTTCCATAAAATATGCATGTAGTCTGTACAAGTATTGTGAATTTCTTTAGTCATTTCAAAAACTGAGGCTACAGCGTGCTTGCAAGGACTTTCTGCTTCTGTTTTGCTGAATTCTGTGCATTCTGTGAAGTTCTTAGGCACTGAACTCCTCATGATACTTTGCATGAACTTTATAAGCGTCTTATCTAATGTCCCTCGTAGAAAGTGTGAAATAGTTCCACACGGCCAACATTTTTTTTCACTGATCAGCCGCCACTCAAACAATTTGAATTTGTTTGTGCTGACTGGTGCCGGAGAGTGAAGGAAACAGGTTTGACTTGTTGCTATTTCTCATTTTCATAATCATTAAAATTTACCAAGTGCTGGATTTTGACGCTTCATTGAAGACCTATTCAATCTTTGCAGGTACTTTTTCTGCCAACGTTTTCAACGTATGACAAGCTGTAAAGTGGCACCGACCCAGTACTTTGTATGGGTACTGGGCTGATATCAGATCAAATATCAGAGGGAAAAGAAATGGAATCTAATCCAATCCTGTAACAAACCTATTCTGAAATAGCACTCCCTCACACTGTGTAACGTGATGTTGTTAGCTGTGTAGTTCTTCCTACACTGTTAGAAATAAAGGTACTGTGCTGCTACATTTCTCATTTATCAAGGTACAAACAATGTAAATGTTCCCTCAAAGGTACAACAGTGGTTTTAAGGTATAATTGTGTACCTTTAATAAGTTTTTCCCAGTGTAAAAGTACATATCTGTACTTTTCATAACCTAATTTTTAAAACAAAACAATAAAATAAAAAGGTACAATTATGTTCCCTGACCAAAGGTACTGAGATGTACCCTTGAGGATACCACCCCAGTGACAAGAGGGATACTGCCCCAGTGACAATTAAGTACCCTTTTTTCTGAGAGTGTATGGTGTCAGTAGAATGTGTGCATACTGAGTAGTGAGCAGTATAAGAAGTGTGAATATGACAGACTACTTTTAGATGTTAATCTTAAGGGAAGTGCTTCAATTATAAATAGCTTATTTTAAAGCTTAGGCCTAGTAGTTCTTACAGAAGAAACACTGAATCAGCATTGGTCAAAACTCAAGGTTTCAACAGCAGCAGTACTTGGATTATAATGTTTTGAGTGGTTTTATTATCTGTTACGTACGTATGTGCCAGCCTACCTGCCACCTGCCATCATACTTGCCCATCATTTAATTAAAATTCTATTCAATTGACCTGAATATCAGTATTGGAACAGAAAAGCTGGTACTGTGCCATATCAAACCACAATGTGTAAAACTGCTGTCACAGATGTAACATAACAGTTAAGGTCTAAGCCACCATTTGCCCGAGTGTTAAAATGAGATCAATCTCTCACCACCATGAAATGCCTTATTACCCAAAGACGGGCAACTCACCCAGCATGTGTGCCTCTGAGAAAGTTTGGTGGCATGCAAATTTCCATACCATTTGACAAATTAAGGCCTGTTTATGGTTATTTTTAGCAGGAATATGCGTCAACATATTCAAATTTTGTGAACGGACAATTTATTCAGCGCACTGCGTCCTCATAAAGTGTGTGACATTTTATCACAACTGCCTCAAAGTCTGCCTCGGAGCAAGTTAATGTTCAACTGACTATATGGGCTCAATAAGGAACCACCACATGAGACGGCACCCTCATTTACCCCTAGTCATGACTGGAAAAGGCTTCTGTATAACTCAGCACGACTCTCAGTTACTGTTCTCTTAGTTTCCTTAGTGTTAGTCCAGGCAAAGAGGTTGCTATAGGACACATGTTAGAAAGTCTAAAGGCATTGAGCTTTTATCCACATGTAAACATATTAACAAGTAAACATATTAACACTTAATACTACTCAACTTTAATAAAGAAGAGGGTCAGAAAACTCAAAAGTACTAGGTATAGAACTGCAGCAGAACTTCTTAGTACATCCCACATCTCTTCGCATAAGAACTGAAGTGTGTTAGGCTCTGTTTTTCTCTTTTAGGGATCCTTTTGGTCTAAAATGCAATGATAAAGCTTGAAACCGAGAGAGATGAGCAATACAGCAAAGCAGAACAGAATGAATTTACACTCTAGAACAGAAATAAGGAACCAATATTGAATGATTTCACTGTACCTGAGTAAAAATAGGTTCCTTTTCGACTCGTTTGTGTGCAGGTAGGCTAGTATCATTTAAAAACTACTGCAGGCCTATCTGAGCCTCGTCAGCTAACCTGTGGAAATGGTGAAGCAGTCGCTTTGTGTGTGTTTACAAGGCAACTTTAAAGCTTTATAATAGCACTATGACGCTTTTCTGTGGTAATTTCTTCTCTGCTTGAACAGTAGAACAATTCTCCTGTGAAAGACACCTGAGCTGACAAAAATAACACAGTAAACTTTTTTTAAAAATTGGCCCCTTTCACAGAACTAGGCTAATGTCTCGAATAATACATTCAGCTTCATCTTTTTGTCACGTTTGTGCATCTCTCCTGACAGAAAAGGGTCTTTACTCACAGCATACTCGGACGCAATGGCATCTCCATCGTCTTTTTCTGACAGACACCGCACTCGCTCGACGAACTTCAGCAGGTACGCTTCCATTTTTTCCCCCTTTAAATCTTCTTCATAAACACCACGTCGGTTCCGCTGAGAAACTCCGAGTCTGGCTCATGTTTTAGAGCAGCTCAGCGCTGTGAAGCCATGAACACAGGTCCACCTGCGCGGGGGAGCTCCGAGAGGCGTTGTCGGTGAAGGGAGCTTGTTGCTCAAACCGCGCAGTGAGAGCAGAGCCGGTAGGCAGGGAAGTCATTCACTTCAGTTAACGTTTCAACGTTTCGGCCAGAGTAGTTTGTGGCTGCGCTCCAATATCCGCACTTCTGTTCTAAATAGAGCGCTTAGCCTAGTGCGTAGGATTCTGTTGGCTACGCCCAGTTTGTCAGAGAGCAGGTTAAAGTTTGCAGCAGCACCTGAACTTTCTCTCAGCTGGTCATGCCGTGCTTTGAGTTTAGCATTTCATTTTTGTAGGATTTTTTTTAGTTACTAGTAACTATAACATGCACTTTCACTTAATTATTTAAAAGTGAAAGTAGTCCCTCAAAATTAGCAGGATAATAATAATAAAATAATAATAATATATAAAAGTTTGGTAGTATAAAGGTGTGGTAGTGTGTGTCATATACTCATTACACTGTTAGAAATAAAGGTTCTGTGCAGGTACATTTTCATTCATTGAGGTACAAACAATGTAAATGTATCCTCAAAGGTACTACAATGGTTTAAGGTCCAATTGTGTACCTTAAATAGTTTTTTTTCCAGGTGAAAAGTCTGTATTTGTACCTTTTTTATAACCTAATGTTTTAAAACAGAGCAATAAAATAAAAAGCCTGGAGACGAGACGGGGTGTGTGGAGTCAATACAACTTAGAAAATATGATTTCAATGGATTATGGTACAATTATGTTCTCTGACTAAAGGTACTGAGATGTGCCCTTGAGGGTCCCACCCCAGTGACATAAGGGGTACTGCCCCAGTGACAGTTTAGTACCCTTTTTTCTGAGAGTGTGAAAACTGAAAAATTTAGGAGGGACACTAATAATAATAAAAAAAAACTTGAATTAAAGTGATTTGAATTGAAGAGAATTTAGGCATACTTAAGCAAACAGAAGTTTACATTTATTAAATACAAACAAAAAAACAGCAAAGTACATGTAGTCCTGCTCCACCACTGTTCAAACAGTATTTTGACTGAAAGATGTTAGGAGGGACTTTTATTCTGAACAGTCAATAACAGTTTTATCCACTGCTGGTCAGAACACAGCAGAGCTCAAGAGTTTAGGACAGGAAACAGTCACAACAAACACGCTGTGGAGGCTCACCCAGTGACATTAAACTATTAATGTGAGTAGAATGTATAATTTATGAACTATTATACTGTTATTGGAAAGGAACTTACAGCTTACACAGGACCTCTTACACATGATTAGCTTGCTTTGAGAAGTACATTCTGTGTGGATGATTCACTCAGCAGAGCTTGAATTTCTTACACATACCACATACCATGATAACCTGATAACTTTAAAAGTGTTAGCTTTGTTAAACTGCCGAACGTTTTAATTGTCAGTTTTATAACAATATTATTACCTCTACCTGCAAGTATTGTAACTGTGTTATTACTTCTAACTGTAAGTATTCAAACAGTCATACAACTTCTAATTGTCAGTACTACAACAGTACTGACAACTTCTTACTGCCAGTATTATAACAGAATCATAACTTCTAATAGTATTACAGCTTCTAACTTTGTATCACAGCAGTATTACACTTTCTAACTGTAATTATTATAACAGTAATACAATTTCTATTTGTTGGTTATTGACATTACAGCAATCTGCCAGGAGTATAACAGAAACATAACTTTTAACTGTCAGTATTATAACAGCATTGTAATTTCAAAATGTCAGTATTATAACAGTATGATAATTTCTAAATGTCTGTATTATAACAGTATTACAACTTCTGTCAGTGTTATAACAGTGTTTTAGCTTTTAAACTGCAACAGTAGTTCAATGTAGGCATTTCAACCGCCTTCTACATGCCTTCTGAACTTGTAAATGTACGTATTACAGCATTACAACCTCTAATTGTCAGTATTATAACAGTAATCATAAGTATTATATTAGTCAGTATTGAGTATTATTGCATCTAACTGTGTATTATTACAGTTATATAACTAAGCGTGACATGTTTTGCCTATTCTTGGCCAGTCTACACACTTAGCGAAGAGGGTTCTCTACAGTATGAAGTTCTTGATGTAAAATCTACTCTTAAAAACTTAAGAAATAGTGGAACCCTTTTCTTATTGTAGCAGTCATGGTGCAACATAGAATCATTTGCAGTTCTTAAAACTATCTACAAAAGGTTCTCCCATGGTGCTCATAAAAAACAATAATAATAATAATAATAATAGTAATAATAATAATAATGATAATATTTGATTCAATAGAGTAAATAATAACTGACCCTCATAACCTCGTGAAGGCAACTACAGCATAATAAGAAAAGCACACATGAAAAGAACCATTTTCTTAACTTCAAAGAACCCTCAATGAAACAATCCACTATCACAGATCTTAAATTGTCCAGCTCTGTGAATGTTCTGTGTGGTCTATAAACCTCAGGCATCATCTGACCACTCCTGGAATGCCTGACTAACCTGTAATAAACATCACAGAGATCCACTGTCCGCTAGCAGTAGACGAAGTGCTCCTCTAAAAGGACATTGCTTCAAGTGTCCGAACAAGAAGTCGAGGTTCTGAGGGAAGTGAGAAACACAGCATGTTCAGGAGAGAGAACGCAGGGGATGAGGGTTTGCTCCCTAAGAACACCGACAATTCTTTTTCAACAGATGTTCTGGAAGAATCAAGTGACTTCACAGCTTTTTTAGCTGGAGCAGAACTGAAGCAGGATGATTCTTCTCCAAGTCTGGCTGCTGATTGCCCAGCAGTTTCCCAGAGCCCATCCAATCACAATGAAGATGTGACGACGGACAGCTGGAGGAGCCGTAGGAAGCATGTGTTTGTGCTGAGCGAGGCAGGTAAACCCATTTACTCACGCTACGGCAGTGAGGAGGCCCTGTCTTCTGTGATGGGTGTCATGATGGCACTGATGTCCTTTGTGCAGGCTGGCGGAAACACCATTCAGTCCATTCACTCTGGTGAGATTTAAATTGTTGGGTGAAAAATGTAATTGGCTCTGCTGTTGTCAGATGTAAGTGTAGATTGTTTGTAGCGCTCTACAAAGAGGTGTAAATCACTCTATGGAGTTTCGCTACATTGAACTTAATGGCTCATCTCTGTCAATACTGAGTTTGTGTGTGTGATGCTGAACATTTTTGAATGAATGTTGTTCAGTTATTGGTACCACTTTTCAAGAATATGTTAAACCCTAAGTAGCACCAGAAGTCATTTGTTTTATTTTTAAATGAAGCAACTCATTGGCCTGGCTTATATACATGACTAACTATCTATGTTTACATGCAAAGAGTTTTGCCAATCCGATTGAATACATTCCAATTACAGATTAAGACTAAGGTGTTTATGTGCACACTGTCCTGAACAATCTGATGAAAATCTCCGTTTTGCATGCATTCCAGAAGTAATCAATCCAAAATGATGTGCATGAGTAGAGCATCACTTAGTGTAGATGTTACCATGACAACGAGCATCGCTCGAGTCCAGTCAGCATGAGACTAGCAGTCGTGTGAGTTTTCAGTTGGCCCTCTTGTATTTATAATTACTTTAAAATTATGTCAGACTCAGAAAAACGTACTTCACGTGTACTTATCAAAGAAGGCAGAGAGGAAGACGTCATTTTCAGAGACACGCTGGATGCCAGTCCCACCGCCATCTTTTGAAGTTCAAGTTCAGTTTGAAGGCAAATGTATGATGATGTAGACATGCTGTTTGCATTTTAATCTTCCATTACATATTAGTCGCATTATCCTTGTACCTCCAGTGCAATACCAAAGAAGCAAACTTCAGAAGACTTTGCTAATTAGCTTAGAGTTATCTTTATGAGACAGAATGCCAAACTCTGCAGAGCTGTGGCCCAGACTGAACCCAGTTTGAGACCCCTGGGATAAGAGGAAAAGTGTAAAGGTGTGATTTATTTGCCAAACTATCCCTATAACATTGAATTCAGAACAACTGGCCAGCTGTGCTTGCACACAGAGGAATTAGACCTCTATTTAACCCATCCGTGCAGTGAAACACCCACATACATGCACACTAGTGAACACACACATTAGGGTGCAGTGAGCACACCTGCCTGGAGTGGTTGACAGCCCTATCCATGGCGCCCTGGGAGCAGTTGGAGGTTAGTGCCTTGTTCAAGGGCACTTCAGTCATGACCTGTCGGCTCAGGAAATCGAACCGGCGACCCTCAGGTTTCATTGTTTCATTGCTTTCTCCGCCTGTCTTCTTCCTACAGATGGGCACACAATCGTGTTCCTGCAGAAAGGACCTTTGATGCTCGTTTCAGCATCGAAGAGTCATCAGTCTGAGCTGCAGCTTCGCTCTGAGCTCCTGCATGTTTACCATCAGATAGTCAGCATGCTCACCCAGGCCAGCATCAATCGCATTTTCCAGCACAGGAAAAACTACGACCTCCGCCGCCTCCTGTTTGGATCCGAGAGGGTTCTAGATACTCTGCTGGATGTTATGGAGACCGAGGCTGGCTTCTTGCTCTCTGCTGTCCAGTGCCTGCCTTTGGCTCCTTCTGCCAGGGATGCTCTTAGTCAGATCCTGCAGAAAGCGGTCACTCCAAACCTGGTCCTGTCGATCTTACTCATCAACGGCCAGCTCATCTCCATCGTCCAGGAGAAGATGGTCATTGAAGATGCAAGGCTGAAGCCGACTGACCTTCACCTTCTTCTGAACCTCATTCGAGCCTCCTCAGCGTTCCAGACTGGTGAGATTTGGACCCCCATCTGCCTCCCCTGCTTCAATCCGGACTGCTACTTCTACACATATGTAGCCTATCTGGATCCTCCTGACTGCACTGTCTGCCTTGTGTTACTGTCCACCGATAAGGAGGCTTTCCACGCTCTGGCAGAGTGTAAGAGGAAGATTGAGGAGGGCATCAGAACCCACAATGCTTTGCAGTGCATCTCAAAAGCGCAGCAGTGTCAAGTTCACCATGTTGGCGTGGCTGAGCTGAGTCACTTCCTTTTCAAGCCTCTTGATATTCCAGACCACCACAGCCAGCTCCCACAATTCACCAGGTGAATGAAAGAGCGGATGTTGCCATGCAAATAAATTCAATTACTGATTTTTTTTTTTTTGTACTTTTTTTTGTACAACTATTAGGCTTTACACAGTGATGCAACTAGTTGCACATTTTGCATGCAACTATTTGGCTTTACACAGTGATGCAACTAGTTGCACATTTTGCATGCAACTATTAGGCTTTATACAGTGATGCAACTAGTTGCACATTTTGCATGCAACTATTAGGCTTTATACAGTGATGCAACTAGTTGCACATTTTGCATGCAACTATTTGGCTTTACACAGTGATGCAACTAGTTGCACATTTTGCATGCAACTATTTGGCTTTACACAGTGATGCAACTAGTTGCACATTTTGCATGCAACTATTAGGCTTTACACAGTGATGCAACTAGTTGCACATTTTGCATGCAACTATTTGGCTTTACACAGTGATGCAACTAGTTGCACATTTTGCATGCAACTATTAGGCTTTACACAGTGATGCAACTAGTTGCACATTTTGCATGCAACTATTAGGCTTTATACAGTGATGCAACTAGTTGCACATTGTTTCGTGAAACACAATTTCAGTGCAACTTGAGTTGCACAGAACACATTTAATTTCTAGATAGCCAAATTAGTAGCTTGCATTTGTGGTGCACTGTACACTCTTAAAAATGATGGTTCATCCAGGGTTCTTTAGTAAATAAATGATTCTATATAGAATCATTTTCTTTACTAAAGAACCCTGGAAGAACCATCATTTTTAGGAGTGTACAGTGTTGCACGCAACACATTTGATTTTCTAGTCAGCCAAATTGGTAGCTTGTATTTGCGGTGCACTGTAAACTCTTCAAAAAGACACTTCTTTCAGGGTTATTTAGTAAAGAAAATGGTCCTATATAGAATCATTTCTTTACTAAAGACCTTACAAGAAACATCTTTTTTAAGAATTCATGAAGAATGTGCTGTGGATGGTTCTACATAGAATGTTTTTGAAAAGGGTTCTATATAGCACCAAAAAGATTCCTTTTATTGTTACGATGTCAAGCCTGCAACAATAGAAAAACCCTTTTTGGTGCTATATAGAACCCTTTTCAAACAGGGTCTGTATAGAACCATAAAAACACATTCTCCATCAATATGAAGAAAAATTTCACCATGCAAATGGTTCTTTGAGTGTTCATGCTTCTATACAGAACCACTGTCTTTACTAAAGAACGCTTTAAGAACCATCTTTTTTAAGTATAACACTAGAACAACCCTTTTGTGTTGCTATGTAGAACTCTTTTCAAGCTCCATCAAGCTGAAGAACACTTTAACGATGCAAAGAACCCTTTAATCATGCGTTCTTTGAGCGTTCATGGTTTCATATAGAAGCATTTTCTATACCAAAGAACCCTTGAAGAACCATCTTTTCCAGTGTGTATGATTCTCAATATAGAAAGTGATCAACATGATTTTTTATCATTTGGATCCTGAAGAAATCTGAGCTCATATCTGTTCATGCTAGCTGGCTAGTTAAGTTGATATTTTACAGCAGGTTCATGAACCTTTTTATGCATGTAAGCATGTGATTCCACTCATGACGGTGTGGTTCATATGCAGCTCCTGGGTGAAATGCCTTTTATGCAAAGGCAATCAAATAAGGCCAGGCTGTCTGATTAGGCCAAAGCCACTGCTGCAGTTACTGTGTGGGGTATTGTGTGCTCTCTGATGAGCAGCACGCAGCACACGGTGCATAAGAGGAGCCTGAGGTGAAGAACTTAAAGCCTCTTTGTTTCAGCAGCATTTGCTGAAGCTATTTAAAGTTGACCAAAACACAGCATTGGTAACAGAAATGTTTTTCCCTCTCACATGCTTTCTGTTGCATAGGTCACATGATACAGCCAAGAGATTCACTTATTAAACACTACAAAAAGGTGTGACTGGTGTCTTTTTATTACATGTTAGAGGGCAGTGAGAAGTATCAACAGTAATTCCTAGAAGCCTAGAGTTATTATTTTAATTTAATGCAATCAAAAATTTCGAAGTTTGGAATAATTTTTCAACTGTTGTTGAATTGTAGCTTGTATGGTATAGACTGAAATACTTGACATGAAAATGTCAACTGATAGTTTACTGAAAATTGTGGGAGCAGCAAGAAGTTATAATATGGCAAAAAGAGTAGATATTATTAAAAAATAACCTGCAAATTTCAGGGGTGTAACAGTTTGCAAAGTGTTTTATTACATTCTATACAATACAGTGGTGACTCGATTCAGTTTTTAGATACAGCAAAAATCTGCCAAAAATCTGCCTTCTGTTAATATATTAATGTTTCCATGTTCAGTTTATTAAAAGCATTCAACACTGTAAAAGTTGAAAACAAAAAGGTGTTTTAAAGTATCATGATTTAACACACTAGCCAGAAGATATGTTAACCTCAAGCTCATATACTAGCCAAAAGCTAATATGTTGGCCCCAAGCTTATGCGTTAGCCACAAACTACAATGTTAGCCCAAAGCTAATACACTAGCCACAAGCTAATACATTAACCACAAGCTAATATGTTAGCCTCAAGCTAATATACTAGCAACAAGTTAATATGTTAGCCCCAAGCTAATACACTAACCACAAGCTAATATGTTAGCCCCAAGCTAATACACTAGTAACAAGGTAATATGTTAGCCCCAAGCTAATACACTAACCACAAGCTAATATGTTAGCCCCAAGCTAATACACTAGTAACAAGGTAATATGTTAGCCCCAAGCTAATACACTAACCACAAGCTAATACATTAACCTCAAGCTAATATGTTAGCCTCAAGCTAATACACTAGCAAAAAGGTAATATGTTAGCCCCAAGCTAATATACTAGCCATGTTTATGAATGCTTATGAATCTGGGGAACCAGGCCTGATGATCAATGGTGACTAACAGTCCTAATGAGCTAATGCTTCTGTATGTCTCAGTCCAGACGTGGAGGCACCGTACAGTACTGAGGAGGAGCAGATCTATCTGATGGACCTGTACTGGCATCTCCACAGCCGAATCCACAGCACCTCGCGGCCCCTTAAACTCCTCTATCATGCCACCCAGAGGGAGACCCTGCTAGCATGGGTACGTTTAGCCATATACAGCACTGGTGATGTCCTTTCAGTGCATTTGCATTGCAGTTTTTGCTGTTTGCTCATGATTTAGTTGCGTTAAATGCGTTACAGCTGGGAAAACACTACATGTCCAAAAGTTTATAGACACCTACACATCCAACGTTTCTTTTGAAATCAAGGTTATTAATAAGGAGTTTGTCCCTCTTTGCTCCAGTAACAGCCTCTACTTTTCTGGGAAGTCTTTACACTAAATGTCAGAATGTTGCTGTGAGGATTTGATTGCATTCAGCTACAAAAGCATTACTGAGGTCAGGTACTGATGTTGGATAATTAGTTCTGGATCACTCTAACTCATCCCAAAGGTATTGGATGGAGCTCCATCACTTCATCACTGGGGTTTTTATACCCCTCTAGCTGACACTTGGCATTGATCATGGTGAACTTAGTCTCATGTGTGGCTGCTCCAGAGCATCCCACTCTATTAGCAATGCTTTTCTATGGAGATTATACAAGATTACACCAGCAACTGATGTAACCTATAGTACCTGCATTCACTAATTACTAGGTTGTCTGAATAATTTTGGACATGTATCACATAGTTACATTAAGACATGCTGCACCAAAATCCTTTGGTTCTCTCCTCACCTCCACAGGTCACTGGCAAGTTTGAGATGTATGCCTGCTTTAGTCCACTGGTCACCAAGTCCTCAGCCATCGGTGCGGTCACTAAGCTGCTGCGCTGGATCAAGAAGGAAGAAGATTGTCTCTTTATCCGTTCTCCCCTAAAATACTCCACCACCCCACCAGAGGCCAGAGGCTTCTCCAATGGCAGGGTCCAGCCAAACAGGCAGGACAAATCAGACAGCAGTGTTCTCTCACTCTTATAGCCACCAGCGGCTATTAAAGATTACCTGGACTTACTGAAAAAATCTATATCCTAAGAGACATACCACTCAAAAAAGATGGTTCTTCAAGGGTTCTTTAGTAAAGAAAATGGTTCTATATAGAACCATTAACATTCAGAGATCCTTTTGCATGACTGAAGGGTTCTTTCCATTGTGAAATGGTTCTTCAGTTTAATGGAGAATATGCTGCAGATGGTTCTATATAGCACCAAAAAGGATTCTTCTATTGTTTCAAGCTTGACTTCATAACCATAGTAGAACCCTTTTTGGTGCTATATAGAACCCTTTTCAAAAGGTTGCTATATAGAACCATATACAACGCAATCTCCATCAATCTGAAGAACACTTTCATGATGCAAAGAACCGTTTATTCATGCAAAGCATCTCAACTTTATAAGCTTGCGATGTCAATATGTAAATATTTATGATGTGACTCAAGAAACTCCTGCAAAATCAGACTTGATGTCTGATTTTTTCAGACTTTATCAGGCGATTCACAGTGTATTTTAGCAGTAATGCTACTGCTTTTTATTTCTTTCAATTCTTGCTTCACATAAATAAATAAATAAATAAATAAATAATAAATTATTAATTAATTAAAAAGTGTAGAAAACAAGCTTAATTAATTCAATGCTTTTATAATATAAAGTAATACAACACAGAGGTAAAGTGTAGAGGTTTGAAGAGAAATAACAGTGATTCATGAATGAAGTGTGAATAAGCACAGTAAGGTGTTAACCTATAGGAAGAAGTAAGAAGTAAGCCAGACCACAGCGAAGAGAACTGAGAGACTACGCAGTGCAGAGTTCAGGGGGACGTTCGTTTCATCACTAAGGGTCAAGCCCACTATAGCTATCAGTGCAGTTTCTGTTAAAATTGTTTGTGAGCGCTTTTGATGTTTTCCCTTAATAAACAAATAAAAACACAACACTTTTACAAGTTTTTGGTTGACTTGGTTAAACTTCTATTAAAGTTCACCTTGTATTCATACTTTTATTGTATTCATACTGGTGTTTCCCTCAATAAACTCCTGAATTCTTAACCATAATAATAGTTAGTTTGTACAATTAGTAGTGCATATGATACACACCTAAAAACGATGGTCCTTCAAGGGTTTAGTAAAGAAAATGTCTCTATATAGAACCATAAATGCTCAAACAACCCCTTTGCATGATTAAAGTATTCTTAGCATCATGAAAGCGTTCTTCAGATTGATGGAGAGTGTGCAGATGGTTCTTTATAGAACCTTTTTGAAAAGGGTTCTGCTTTTGCTGTAGCTATTCTGCTATACAATGTCAAGCCTATATAAATAGAAGGTGCTATATAGAGCCCTTTTCAAAAAGGTTCGATATAGAACCATCTACAGCACATTTTCCATCGGTCTGAAGAACACTTTCATGATGCAAAGAACCATTTATTCATATAAACCATTTTCTTAAAGAACCATCATTTTTAAGTGTTTGTGAAACCTACATCTTATGTTTTCCAGATGGGCTGATATTACAGTGTAAATGGTTTAACAGGTGTTCTGGGACTGATTCCAGATGCTTTTGGTGGTTTAATGAGATGTTAAGATGGTGGTCTCTCATTGTAGCCATTGAATCAAATAACATCAGAAAGCAAAATCAGGTTTCAGGTTTTTAATCCACATGGTTCTAATAGAAAGTTTGAGCATGTACTCTGGTCTTATTCAGTCTACTCTGGCTTCCTGTTAAGTTCCGCATTAACTACAAGATCTTGCTTATGACACTTAAAGCTCTAAGATAGCTCCAGCATATCTTACTGACCAATTACAGCCTGTCCAGACCACTTCACTCTGCTGAGGGAAACCTTTAGGATCACTTTCAGCTCAGCTGAAGGAAAATCATTTTCGTATATTTCATATATCCTTAACTCTGTAATAGCATTCCAGACAATATTAGGAATGCAAGCTTGATAAATGTTTATAGCACAAGTATTGTGGATCATTCTTATTTTTATTTAGACCATATGTTTTATGTACACTCTTAAAAAAGATGGTTCTCCAAGGGTTCTTTAGTAAAGAAAATGATTCTATGTAGAACTATGAACACTCAAAGAAACCTTTGCATGACTACAGGGTTCTTTGCATCATGAAAGTGTTCTTCAGATGGAGAATGTGTTGTAAATGGGTCTATGTAGCACCAAAATGGGTTCTTCTATTGTTACAAGCTTGATATTAAAACTGTAGCAGAACCCTGTTCGGTGCTATATTTTCAACAAGGGTTTTATATAGAACCATGTACAGCATTCTCCATCAATCTAATCAAATATGATGCTAATGCTTCTTTGAGTGTTCATGGTTCTAATAAAAGAACCATTTTCTTTACTAAAGAACCCTTGAAGAACCTTTTTAAGGGTGTATCCAGTGTTTTATTAAGCCTATATTCATGTTTAAAGACCGTAATAGAAGAATTTTTAAAGTATTTGATTTATTTTGAATAATTTCATTTATTAAACGTATTTTAGGAAACAGTCTGTCTTGTTTCTTTTATTCTGAATGTCACTTTTTTATTGTATCACTCTGTGAAGCACTTTGACCTGCTCTCTAGCATGAAAGGTGGTATATAAATGAGGATTGTTATCATTATTAAAGCACTTTGAGGTTTTGTATCTGTAACGAAACGTGCCATATCAGGAAAGATCTATCAATATTTTATTATTTTATTATTATCATCATTACTGTTATCATGACTGCGCCATCTGTAGGACAGGTAAGCTCTGAATGCCTGTGTCTTGGAGCGATGTTCCAGTAGCTGAGTGCTAGTGCGGTCCTCGATGGGAAAGTACAGGAAGCTTTCCAACGTGGCTCATTCACTTTCGTAGCTTTCACATGTTCCGTATTTGGCAGAAAGATATGAATAACCCGTTTTAATGACTCATTGAGTGAATCTGTGTCTGTGGAGCCTCAACACCCCCTCTTGGTGGACCCATAGTGAACTCGTTCCTGTGGGTGAAGATGGCGCAGGCTCTATCAGAAGAGGAGTTCCACCGTATGCAGGTTAGTTAACTCTCACCGGTCTTTACCTCTTTACTCACTCGTCCTGGGGGTCTACCTTTGAGGCGTCAAGCTGGACGAGTGTTTCAGACGTGATTTTTGTCTATATCTTAAAGAATATGGAGGTTATCAGGGCAGCGGGGCCCTGTAATCTGGTACAGTCTGCTGACTGCTGCTGCTGCTGCTGTGGTAACGGAGGGAGGCTAACGCTAGCTAGCGTTCAGCCCACAGGTTAGCACGCAAGCTAACACAGAAAACTAACAGGCGGACAGGTTTTTGTGTGATATAAAACATGTATTAAATATGTTTCTTAGTTTAACAGGGTGCTTGGCTGCACGATAAAACTGTTTACCGTATATATCGGGCTTTACACTAACGTTAGCCAGCTAATTATGAGTTAGCATCACATTTAGCCAGCTAACCGGCTAGCTTCCCTTCCTTAGCAGTACAGCATACAGCTGTTTACATTAACGCTAGTTTCTAAACCTGAATCAGCTTTAAATTGCTCAGAGGACACTGGGGGTGGTTTAAATGGTGCTTTTGTTCTCCAACTGTTACAGTTTGGCTTAGCAACATTGCTGCCAGACGTCTGTTTTTGTATGAAGCTACAGCTACAGGTTTTGTTGACAAATGTGGAACTTGAGGTGAAATGTAGCTTGCTAATCTGATATCCAGTTTCGTACTGTGGTGCCAGTCATTTAACTATTTCCATGACCTCACTTATTTAGATTGAGCTCATAGAAACTGGCCAGACATCACAAGCTGGAGTAATAATGCAGCAATTATTCCTCTTTACTTAATTCATGACACCTGACAGTGCACCTGACAGTGTTTGGCACACGGTGGAGCAGCTCTGCTCACATTCACATGATTTTATTTATCTGTGGTTTTCACTATAAAATGCTCAACACATCTTAGCCTATGATACACAAGGAGAACTTTCAGCTGCACTGCAAAAATGGTGCTTTGAATTTGCTTGATTCCTTTGGTGGGGATATGACAACATTTATCATTGTGGAGATTTGTTCTCTGTATGTAAAGAGCACTGACCAACAGCATTTTTTATTATAAAGAGCATAATTGTTCATGCTTAGCTGGATTTAGTGCGGTACAGGGTGTTTAAAGTTTAAAATTTTAAAAAAGTGGCCCTCCTGATTCCTTTTTTGTCTGTTTCAACCTGTCAAACCTCAGGGAAACTAAATATTGTGATAGTTATCATGTATCATGGAAATGCATTGAAGTAGAGCTGAGCAAAATGACAATATTTATCTTTATCATGAGAAATTACGTCACAATATGTCACAATATACTTTTCTGAGTATATTGTGGATATTGTTGATATTTAAAAACACCTTAATAAACTTTGATTAAAAAGAGAGCACTGTTAGTCCTGTTTAATTGAATATAGTGCAGCACAGTGTGTGAAATGTTGAATAAAAGCAATTGAATTCATAGTTTTTGATAGTGTTTTTGAAATACGGTACTGCTTTGTGTGTTCTAACTGATCAGATATTAGAAAAAAATAAATGTTGTGACACATTGTGTATCCTAACAAACGTCCTGAAGTATGATGAAATTAAGTTTTGCCATGTAGCCCACCTCTACGTTGATGTATCATTATGTTATATTTTTGCCACCCCCCCCTCCTTAGTACATTCGAATTATGTGGTTGCACATGAATAAAATGTGCTCACATTTATTTACTTAACACATTTGAGCACCATTTTTTTTAGTGTGTATAGCTGAATGCAGTTGGGTTGTAATTCCTTTCCGACCTTGTTGTTTTTGTTACAACAGGCTCAGCTGCTGGAGCTGCGAACCCAGAACTACCAGCTGTCAGACGACCTGCGAAAGAACACTGCAGGTGAGCGATTTTTATTTAAAACTGAATCTGCAGCGTTTATGACTGCAGGTGAAATGCGTTGTTTGTTTGCCAAGGCAGGCGTGACTCATATCATAGTATAATTGAGTATTCAGTGCTCAAGGCTGAAACACGGAAAGAAAATTATCCTTTCAGTACCTGATTTGAAGGGAAATTCCATTGATTTTTCTGTTCTTCGTAAGTAAATAGGTAAGATGTAAACAAAGTCTTTCATAGTGGTTTGATGTGAAATGCTCTCTTTTAGAGGAACTTACTGAGTCAGAATTGTTCACAGTGGTGGTGATGAGAACCAGACGTCTAAAGAGTTTAATGCCTCTGAATCACGGAAAGTTATTACATTAAATGGTTATGAATACTGCTTAATACCTGAGACATATTTTGTGAAAGTTTTGTGAGAACTGATCTGGGCCTGAAATGTATATTTTGAAATTTGTTCTTGGTGGAGAGGTATATGTGGGTGTTGTAAGGTGAAATAGTCCCCACAGAAAAAAACATTTTCAGGTGTACCACTATTTTACCATCTTCCACATTACATATAAAACTCAGAAGACGAGTGCAGGTTCACTGGTGGTAAATAAAATGGCTGTGTTGTTGACATTGTGACGCTTGTTCTCATCACCACTGTAAAGCAAATTTAAATGAATAAGTCTCTCTACAAGTAACCATTTCCCATCAAACCACTCTGAATGATTTTGTTTATATATCAATGAATTAATTATGTAGAAATTTCAAAAATTCCTCTTTTAACATGTACCTCATTTCTAAATGAAACTATATGGACACAAGATTGTCTTTCAGTAGACGAAGGTATGATGGACGGATTTGAGTCAAGTAAACTCGCATCGCTTCTGTCTGTGCAGGAAAATGCTTTTCACATCAGTATTTCTCACTACTCGGATTTATACTGTGTACTTTCAAGTTGCGCCTTACAGGCTGATTTGAAACATTGCTAATCACAGTAAACACAGCGTTCTCTCTCCCAGACTGCAGGCTGTGACATTGTGCTAAAGTGTTTACCTTGATAACGTCACAGTAGTGCTGACTGTTTCCTGCAATATTTAATGTGTAATAACTGAGATTAGTGAGAAAGACCATGTGTGAAACTCCACCCCTCTAGCTAATGTCTAACTTTCCAGTCACACTAAATGCGGCTGACTCTGCTTCTTCCTGTATTAACTTGGTCAGTTCAGCTCTTCTCTGGCTTTTTCTGGATGTCAAACCACAGGGAGACAGTGTGGAACACTGGACCAGATTACACTTGCATTTTGACCACTGTTCCTCAGATGTTCATCCTCCGCATAGTCATTCTGTATAATGAGTATAATCTTAAAGTCTCCCTGGAATCAAAATTTTTTTCATTAGCAGTTAATGTGTCTGATCTTTTTAAGCATGATTCACCATATGAGGTCAACGACAAAATTGTTTGCCATAATCTTTGATCATAGTGTAGTGACTTTTGTCCACCTCTGGGCTTCTGGGTTTTGATTCTGTCATCGAATACCAGTGGGCGGGGAAAAATAATATAAATCAATAATATCACATTTCACCTCCCCCTCCCGCCACCCCATCTATCATCAAGAGAAAACTCTTAGCTAGCTTATGTGGAAATACATCATAGGATGGAAGGAAAATGCATTTCGATTCACACTGTCTTTTATGCTCCTTTTTAAAAATAGGCTCTCCAAGGGTTTGTAAAGTGTAAAGGCAATGATTATAGAAAGAACATTGATAATCCAAAGAGTCATTTGGTTGTTTTATGTGTGTGCTGCAGTTGCCTCCATAAGGTTATGGTGGTCAGTTACTATGTTCTCTGTAGCAAGTATTTTGGTTATTATAATAATTATTAGTAGTACTATATATATATATATATATATACACACACACACACACACATATATATATATATATATATATATATATATATATATATATATATATATATATATATATATATACACACACACACACACACATATATATATATATATATATATATATATATATATATATATATATATATATATATGTACGGACACACACACACACATATATATATATATATATATATATATATATTTTAAATAACAGCTGGATATAATGGAATATAATGGAAAATAATTTTTTTCCTCCAATAAAGATGATGTTAACATAACATACTACTAATATTTCTTGTGTGTGTAAAGCCCACTCCTAACAACAAATATCATTAAAAAAATTCTTAAAAGTGGTCTATAGGGCTCATTGTTTCTAGAAGAAACCCTTCGTTTGCATGTAGTCCTTTAATCATTTGAAAAATAGTTTTATAGAGCACCAATAATGGTTCCACTTTGCTATAGAACACAGAATCTTGTTTGGTACTTTATAGCAGTGGTTTCTCAAACTGGTCCTCAGGCACCCCCAGATGGTCCGGATTTTTGATCCAACTTAACTTGTAACACATAGACATAGAGCAAAACGTGGGTCGTCTAGGGGTTTCTTAGGACTGGTTTGAGAACCACTGCTTTTTGTTAATAATATATTGTGTACTTGTGAATAGCATGTTTTCATGTGTCTCTCTGTGTGTATTAACTTCACACTCTGTTTTGTAGAACTCAACAATGTCCGTCAGAAGACGCTGACCCTTGAGAAAGAATACGTCAAAGCACAGAAGGTAGACACATCTCTTTTTAAACGAAATTCTGTGGCAGGGCTGTCAAGTCTTATATGTAAAGGCACAGTGTGGCTGCAGGTTTTCATTCCAGCAAAGCAGGAGCTCACCTCGAAATCAGTTGTTTGATGCCATATTCAAATGCAAAAAATGAGTTTCCCATAAGGAGGCACCCCAGGAATGCCATTTAAAGTCGGATCATGAAGCCAGATACATTGAAATTGTCAGTGCAGCGTGAATTGGCAGAGTTGTGAAGTCAACACTTTTTTTAATGACAGAGGTTAGAAGCAAATATCGGAATGCAATCAGATAAACTGTGCAAATGTAATACTTGGCAAAAGAAAAGCAAATTTTAAATATGTACAGTTAGCTCACATTTTTATTTTACACCAGTAAAACAGGCCATAGCTAGCTTATAAACTACTACCCATTTCACCACCCCTGTGTTGTATTTATCTTTCACATAAACTATGTTCGGCTAAAGAGTTCTTCCTTGGAGAAAAATACCACCTCACTTAAGTCAGGCATGCACTGTTTGATTTTAGCCTGTTTTTAAGCCCGATTTAACCGTAACCGATTGAATTGACTTTGATAGACCGATTGACTGATTGATTCATGATTGGTCTAAATTGCAGCTTCATAGGCCATCATTTGCCATTCAGTGTGCATGGGGAAGCGATGCCCAGTTAACTGCCCAGTGAGCTCTGATCGATCAGTCGGACAATTGGATGGATTTCTGATGATCAGTAATTTTGGTCGTTTGTCTCACAGTTTGAGCAGTCTCACGAACCGATTTCACACCCGAAACCACACACAATCATAACCACTGCTTCTACACAGATCAACACACATCAATGGAGACAAAAATGTCAGCATTTGTGGTACCAACATTCATATTTGCTGACTTTGCTCCATTTGACTGAATTGAATTGTGAAGGATAAACCTAAATACAGTGATTTTTTTTTTTTTCTTGTAAAATTGTCTCTGTAAAACTGTAGACCGCCTGGTTTTAATTTTCAGTTTTTAGTTGCAAGTTAGCAAAGCTGTTGTAGCATGGTTTATCAAAGGATGAATCTCAAACAGCCCCCTCCTTCCTATATAGTGCACTATGTAAGTTCTGGCTTCTACACAAAAATAGTGCGCTGTTTGTCCAATGTGGAACTGTACACACATGGCTGAATGCCAAATGGCTATTTATTAGACCTGTGATGTGCTGTTTGGGTGCAGGAGCCACTATTTTAATTCTTACGTGGTGCACTATATATGGAGCAGGGAGTTTATTTGCTAGTTGTCCATAGACAGAGGGCGATTCAAATGTACAGTGTAAGTTGTCACTGAAGAACAAGAATTCTGAAATCACAGTGTATGCCTTACTTTACACTTGAAAGCAACATGAGACTCACTAATTAAACAAGTGAAATCAGGGCTGTTTCTGCTTGTTTGGAATGAAAAACTGCAGCCACATCAGCCCTTTGCAGAAAGGACTGGACACCACTGTTGAAGGCAAAAGGAAGAGCACACTGTTTATTTGTAGTGTGTGCAGTGTTTGTGTAAATCAATCTCTTGCCTGAAGTGACGGAGCCAGTCGGGTAAGAAATGAAGGATTTCCTGCTTTTGCTATGAAGGAGTAAGTAAAGTTTAACTTGTGTAACAGTAGCAGAACGTTTTAGTAAAGCAGGCTCTGTGCTGGTGCATGCGTTTCTACACACTTCAATCAGAGTGAAATTAAATAGAAGCTATTCAGTTGAACAAGTGTTTGTTGCATTGCTCAAAACAGCATATCAGCTTCCTTCTCTCTGCTTTTGTCCATGTTTATAGATAAACAGAATGCCATTCAGTGTCAGAAACCACAAAAGCAAGTCTGTCTGGGATAACTTAACAACTTTTTGTGGTTTGAGGCAAGTGAGTGATGATTAGGAATGCAGTTAGCTCAGTGCTGTTCTCATGGACCATAAGCTTCCATTACTTGTTAACTACATTAGTTTTGTAGTCCCAGTGCAAAACTAAAGACGTGAAATTTGGACAACAAACATACAATATATTAATACTAGCTAGGGCTGGGCGATAAAACGATAACGATAATTATGGCGATATAACTTTTCCTCGATAGAGCGATACGACATGTTCGATAAATGTTCAATATAATACACTATTCTCACACTCCCACGTTCAGCGAAAGCCTTGGTGGCGTTTTCTACTGCAAGGAAAGCGTCACTACTCTGCTGTCTCCAGAAGAGGGCGCACTTCCGAGTTTTTCGACATGAGTAGAGAGGGAGGGGGCCACGAGTAAGATGAGTCTTTAGCAACGTCTGAAACGCGGAGTTATACGTTCCCTGTTTGAGCGGAGCGACCGGCGATCTGCTCTCCTGTGACTGAGTGTGAGTGATGAGGTCAGTGGTGTAACTGTACTGTCCTACAGCGAACTCACCTCTTTCTGTACATCCTAACCAGCTTTAGCAGCGTTAAATCACAATCCTCACAACTGCAGCGCTGTTACAGAGCTCGGGCAGTCATATTTTAGTGTGAGTGCATTCCCAAGCAACGAAAGTGGAAGAAAGAAGTGGGTTCATGTAAATTACAGCCCTGATTTAAACGAAAGTAAACTGAGGAAGCTGTGAGGCATTGGAGAGCGGGAGAGCGCTAGCTTTACAGGCTAGCTGTTTTTAGCAGCTGGCTAACTTGAAGCAGCGCTCTGTCACTCCACAACACGGCGAACTGACGATACTGTAGATCAAACACGACACAAAATCACCGCTTTCAGTTTAAGCGTTCCTAAAAGGAGGACTCTGTTTGTCTGGTGTTGATATTTTGCGGTTCACCACTTAAACTACTACGATAGTATCGAGAAATCCAGTCGTCGCTAGCTGGTGTCTGAATACTGTGATGTCATTTGTCGCGGGGTAGCCGAGCGCTCGGCACCAGCTAAAAATAATCTGTTTTCTTTCTTAAATTTTGACTATTACAAAATAGCCGTGCTTTTCCAGCTGGTAAAAACAGCTCACCAGACACTTTCTCCCACTGTCCCATGACAGATTTGTGAAATGTTCCACTGTTTGTTGAGTGTTTGTCATGATCCAACCGTAAAGGATAGTTTAAAACAGCAATTAACCACCCAGGAGCAAAAATCAGCCTTCAAACTTGAAAGAAATAATGATTTGACATTTATCGTGATATGTATCGATATTGAGCGATATGAATTTTGTTTATCGTGATAACATTTTTGGCCATATCGCCCAGCTCTATGAACATACTTGTGTATCATAAATAAGCAAACTTCTATATGTAGTTCAAAATATATTCAGTAGGCAGCCAAATTGTTTTGATGGAACAGATACACTTCCGTTTTAATCAATTTTGCACTGAGCATTTTTCTTATTGCCTGATAATTTGAATTGCTGTCACATACGATTTCTCAGATTTCTTTGAGCATACGGAAAGCGATCCAGTTTGTTATGCTCTGATGCAAGGCGACATAAACGCTCGGCATGAATTGAGGATGCATTCAGCTAAGGCCGGGGTTGCATTACATGACTTTTACCCCGATTCTAGCCCTGATTCTCAGTCTGGCTGAGTCTGGGCTAGTTTGCTCAAGCGGTGTGTGAGGGGCGCAGATTCCTAATCATGTTTCAGACCAGCCGGAGTTTATGAAACATGTTTGATTTTTTTTTTTTTACCTGACTCTGAGTGTAATCTAGTCGTGTAAACTGATCAACAGCAACTCAATCTGAACAGACTCCTGTAACAGCCAATGAAAACTGAGAACGCGAAAGACGAAAATACAGCAAGTAAACAGAAAAATGGCGAAAAGTCACTCACGCATGGAGCGAAGCTTTTTAATGAGCTGAGTTTAAGGCACAAGCACAGTCGAGTATTTGTACATTTAAAACTCTAAAAATACCAAACTGGTCACACTGATGACCCTCACTTAAACACGTTTACCTGCTGCTTCTGTACGCTGTCAGCGCAAAAGGCAGAGAAACAGCAGCAGGGGCGAGCCGCTCTAAATTTGTTTATTTGCGTCTCCTAGTAAAGGGAGAACGCGAGAGTTTGCAAGTTCAGTGAGTTCCGTTCGGTTCAGCAACAGCTTAAAAGTTGAGTAGTGTGTGATCTCTAATTGTCTGTGATCTCCAATATTTCCAGATAGTATGAGATGCCCAGTCTAATCTGTTAAGACTTTAAAAGTCGTGTAGTGTACCCAAGGCTTAAACCAACTTTGTTTGTTTTATTTTTCTTTAAATGGGAAATACTAAGAAATGAATCACAAAAAAAACCCTAAACCAAATTTAATTTATTTTAGGACTGTCAACATGATTAAAATGATTAATCAGGATTAATTGCATTAGTTTCTGTAGTTAATTGTGATTTAATGTCTGATTTGCTCTAATTTGACCATAAAGATATTTTTCCCTTCCATTTTGTTATTTTTATTTGAGCATACAAAATAAACATCATCAAAACGCATTCATTACCCTCAGTAATCCAATATGGACAAAGGGAGAACAACTTCTCTGTGATCATAGCCCTCTCGCTGTCAGACTGCTACATTACTTCTCGTTTTAAGGGGAACGGGAGTTTTCCAGTTTGCTGTTGCCTATGTTACTTTGTGGTTTGTTGATTTATCCATAGTTACACTGCGAGCACTGAGCACTGCTTTCACTGATACAACACTGCAGCATTATGCTTTGATCGTAAATGATATTTCAGACATGGCGTATTTTGGTGATAAATAAATTCATGGCATGAAAGTGGCTGGAAAGAACGTTTATCAAGAGAGCCATCAATGGAACTGGCCATTTAAAAGCTGTATTTGAATAAGAGGACAATTATCGCAAAGGCAAAGCAGCAGCCCCCAAGCAACTGGGCTTCACGGTGGAACTATGGATGCTTTCAAGGCTCAAACTAGGAAAAGGCATTAACAGTGTTGTTTTTTGACGTTATTGACACGTTAACTTTGACGTTACTAGTTTATTTGTTTTTAACATTTACCATAAATTAACAATAACTGGCCTTATTGTAGTTTAGGCTACAATTTTTATGGCTTAAAAAGGACAAAACTTCTGAATACTAAAAAGAGAAACCAGTACCAACACAACTAATCAGTACTCGAGGAATCGGATTATTCAGGCCAAACCTAATAATTAAGATTTGATAAAAAAGCACTGGTGTGTCAATCATCTAATGTCTGTAGTGTCTACAAATATTTGCTCCAGCTCTGCACAGCTCTAGCTGATTTTCTATATGAACTCCATTGCAAAGAATACGTTATAAGTGAAATCAGATGTTGCAGATCTGTAGACACTGTAGCACTGTTCTAACAGTAAAGGGCAATGGTGCTGAGTCTTGGCTGAAAGTTACAGATAACTTTGTAATGAAAAGGACAGTGTTAAAAATATTCTGGGTATTTTGAATTTTATTAACTCAGAAACTCATTTCAGTTCTCAGCCTGAGGTCTGACGATATTATGACCCTGTAAAACTCAAAGTAACAGTCGTCTTTCATTATTAACGTTTTATGATCTTGCTGTAATGTTGACTGATGGGTTATTGTACCAAATGTATAGATGCCCTTCCTTTCAGTGTCTAGAGGTGGCTGATACAGTAGGCAAGTCTTATGGAAGACTATAAAAGCTGCTTCTTCTGGACCAAGTAGCTGCTCCCAATGTCTGCAACAAGGCCATTTGCTGATGACATCAGTGTAAATGCAATCTTTCCTTCCCAGAACTCACCCTGGCTGTTTTCCGTCACAGTCAAGACTGATCTCATTTACGCTATCATATGTTTTCTTTCCCCCCTGCAGGCCCTTAATAAGAGCAAGAAAGCTCAGGTAAGTTTGCCTTCATCGTAATCCAGAGAATAATCAGTCTAATGGGTAATATTGTGGGGTGTGGAACATGACATCATACATCAGAGGCACTAGCAGATTTACAGATATGTTTATTTAATTTACTCTTTTTCCAGTGCGCTTGGTCTTGCAATCTGACACAGCGCCCTCTGCTGTACTGTGTGTTGCAGCTTGTTGAGGCTTTGCTGTTGAACTATCAGATTCCTTTTATACCATTGAGACTCTGTTCTTTAACCAGTAATGAAGAAGATGATGATGCAGTGGGAAACAGACTTGCTCTTGTAGTATCTAGGGTGGTCAAGAGTGCTCTATCAAAAAATGATTAAAACGTACCTGAATTGGCTGTGATTACTTGGTTTGTATGATATTAATACATATTTTAAATGCTTCAGCCGCTCTTACAGTAGGGAACAGAGCCTGTAACCCATTTATATGTGGTTTATATGTAGGTTCACTGTTTGTTTTAAATAGTAAATTAAATGACTGTATACAGTTATATACAAAAGTTTGAACACCCTGGTCATATTACATGTTTTGCTGATTTTCTGAATGAAAATAAGTTAACTCATCTTCTATAGAAAGGACGCTTAAATATGTGATTTTTCTGCAGGTTTTAATGGAGTTTCTATTTATTCCAGGAGTTTAACGTATCTGAAAAACATAAAATATAAAATTTTTATTTTAACTTTTTATTTTAACTTTTGACTATAACTTTTGAATAACTTTTAGACATGCTACATTTTATTTATTTTTTTTTCAGTATTTGTGCAAAAGTGTTTTCTCTGTAGAGGATGTGTTAACTTCTTTTCACTTCAATCACCAAAGCATGTAATTAGACCAGGATGCCCAAACCTTTGACTGTATATAATATATAACTCAAGTCAATAAGCTTCTCTACAATTAACCTTTCCACATCAAACTGCTGTGAATGACCTTGTTTACATCTCAGCAATTGAATTATGCAGACATTTTAAAAAAATAGTGGAATTCCCCTTAGAAACTGTTACAATTGATAGTGACAGCTCTAATAGTGTCAGTAGTCAAAATGTTGTGCTGATAGTAAGAGACGGATGTGTTCACTCTGTTAGAGCATCAGCAGTGGGTGTTAATTTGTCTAATTGGAGCAAGAGGTGGATGTGTTTGTAAGAGTGGGTTGTTATTGAGTTACTGTATGTTGATTTGGCACAGTTTCATTTTAGTGTTGTGGATTTTATTATGAGAGCCGCTGTCTGTTTGGAGCATAGGTAGGCTATGTTACTTTGTGTTATGACTTAATTATGCCAGGGTTGTGAAATAATTAATGTGACTTACATTAGTAATGTTGTTAGTGGTTGTAAGCAGGCAGAGGAAGCTTTAATAAACGAGAATGTTGTTAATCGTGTTTTATTTTGTGTGTTTTGTAGGACAGGACAATTTTGTAGGACAATTTTGTTTAAGTAGATTGATCTTGTGAGGGGAATCATGCCGTACAGTTTTTTTCTAGTGTTATTGTGTGTTAATGTTTATTTCTCTGTTGCTGCAGGAGGTGGACGCATTGCTGAGTGAAAATGAGATGCTCCAGGGTAAACTGCACAGCCAGGAGGATGACTTCAGACTTCAGAACAGTACTCTTATGCAAGAGCTGTCCAAGGTGCTGAGCTCACATGTACACACAGCTGTAGGGCAACAGTGCCAGCTTTAGGGGCCAAATAATACTCCTTAAAGAGAACAATCTCAATTATTTAATTTATGTTAATTTATCATTCAGTATATTCTAATGTTTATACGAGACTTGACTTCCCTGCATTGTTGCTTTGTTTGCTTCTAGCTCAAAGCCACTGCATTATAAACACATTGCCATTTGTGGGGGGTGTGATGATACATTTTCAGGTTCAATATGATTTCGATTCTGAGGTCAAGATTTGAGTCATTTTTGGAATATTTAATGTGTTAAAAATGTCTTGATTCTGCAGAACTCTGTGTGTATACTGCACAGATTGGTTTGGCTCAGATAAATATAATTTTTTTCCAAACACAAGACTGCATGTCCTTTGATTTCCTTTGTGAGCTTAGAACAATACAGATACCTGAAGGGCCTAATCTAAAACCTTACAGACAGCAGTATGCAAAAGTTTGTGCGCCCCTGGTCAAATAATGTTCAGTTGCATTGAAAATAAGTCAACACAACCTCTAGAGGGAACACATTTCGCACATTTTAATCCACAATTTCTATTTATTTGCTGAATTTAAAAGTAAAAGCAGAAAAGTAAAGCACAATATGTGGCTTGTGCAAAAGTTTTACATTTAATATTTTGTTTTATTAATGTTTTCCAATGTATTAAAATCAACAAATAAATAGAAATAGAAAATATGAGCTAAATTTGCTAACAAATGCCATATTTAAGTTTGTTCTCTGTAGAGAATACGTGAACTTATTTTTACTTGGAAACGTGGAATTTGACAGGGGGTGTTCAAACTTTTGCATACAATTGTACATTTTCAGCCTCCTCAACATTGTATCACAAAAGCTAAATTAAAATATGAGCAAAACAAAAAAAGTATTTAATGAAGTTAGTGATTATTTTTTATAACTGAATTGCATCACTATTAAGGAATGAAATAAAGAGAACAGTTAGTGAAGTTTTATCAATAAACACATGCAAAGCAATTAACAGAAAGTTACTCATTAGGGACTTTATTAGGGACATATCAGTAAGCTTTAAAGTCTGCGTGAATCAGAAATCAGAATTCATTCTCCTTCTGTACCGTATCATATTTCTCTTGTGAGTGTTTTCTTTTGATGATAGGTGGTGGGAGGCGGGGGTGAAACATGATATTATCGGTTGTTGTTATTTTTCTCTCTGCCCGCTGGTGTACGCTGATGTATTTAAAAGTCAACACTACATTTTGATCAAAGATTACGGTACTTAGTACAGTACTTAGTCATTTAAATGGCATGGTGTGATGCATTGTGCCTAATATGACCAGGAACATAAACCGAAAAAGTAAAAAGGTCATTTTATTTTCAGGTTGATTTTAAATACATAGATTTGAATGTCCATTAAAGCTGTAGTAGCCATTTACCTGCATTTACAAAGATATCTCTAGCATAAAATATGCATGGACCATTAGTCATTTCGAGGCGTGCTACTTCAAACAGCCACTGTAGCTCCTGAATCATATTACACTAGGCAAGTAACTAGTTTTCATGAAGCATATGATTAGTCTAAAGTCAGATTATCATCATTGTATTGGCCAAGTATTGCTGTTTTGTTGAAATTTCTTTGGTGGAATTTGTGTTTATAAATGGACAATAGAGGATACAATTATTCAACAAATAATACCAATAAATATGCAGACACAACCACAAAGACTTAAAAAAATATATATATATGTCCAGAGTATGTCAAGAGGGAAAACCTGATTAGTTTGTGTTTGTTTGGTTAATTGAAGCTATGCTGTGATTGGTTAGCTGCCTCTGAATCTGACTGGTCTGTGCTCTGTGTGTAGTTATGTTCACAGATTGAGCGCTTGGAGTTGGAGAATCAGGGGCTGAAAGATGGGAAAGGCCTTTCAGCTCCGGCCCCCAGCCCTGTCTCTGGACCAACAGACGGAGAACTGCTGCGTCTCCAGGCTGAGAACTCCGCCCTGCAGAAGAAATTGGCATGTAAGAGAGACAGTTGATGTAACAAAGCACTGCTATAGTAATGCAAGATAGGCATACAACCTTTATGGCTTTGACTGTGAATAAGAGACCTCTTATATATACATTTCTAAGTCATTGATGTCTTATGAGCTGGTTAGAAGAATGCAGGATTGGTTCAAGATATCTCCTCAATGCCCCCAGTCATCACAGAGATTTGTTAAGTTCTTTCACCAGCTCACCTTATTTGCATTGGTTAGATGTTGACTGTCATGAGAAGAAGTTTGGAGATGATTAAACAAACACATTAACATGCATAAAATCACTACTTATTATATCAAAGTTGTAAGTACTTATTATAATATTAAAAAGGCTAAATGACTTCTTTAAATAGAATTGTTTCAGTTGCCTCAGACTTTTGCACAGAACAGTATATAGAACTTACATTGCACAAATCAACAACGCTAATGACCTCACCACAAACCTTTTCTTATAGAACTAAGATCGGACATCACCCTGTGGACATTTGAAAATCATCATTTTGTTTCCTTCTTTTTTCTGGGAACAGCTTCTCCATTAATTCCTAAGTCTGCAGTTTCTCGACCAAGTTCTTTTTTTTTCTATTTTTGTTTTGTTTTGCAATGCCAGCATAAACCGATTTCCCCCACAACTTCCCTTATTAGAATGAATGCCAGCTAAGCTTAAGCACAGATTATCACCTTTAAAAGTGTTTGCCCTGTATCTGCAACATGGCAGAAAAGTGCGTATTGGCAATATTAATGTCAGCAATCTAGCCCTGTTTATTTGGCCACAAGCTGTGATGGATGTGAGCTGTCATTGCTAAGATGGTTATATTGCTGTGTGTGTATTTGTGTGTCAAGCTCTTCAGGAGCGCTATGACAACGAGCACAATCGTTCGCGGGGAGCAGACGTTAATGATGGGAAAGAGGCAGTGATCGATGGTCGGGCGGACTCCAATGGCATCCACCAGTTGCATGCTGATGGTGGGGGGTGCTCTGGTGATGCAATGGCATCTTCTCCAGCCAATGACCGACTGGAGCGGGTGAGATCTGATGTAGGATTGTTCTTGTTTGTCCTCCTCAAGGGACCTATTTCACTATTTCAGTATGAATGACTGTGAAAATAGGTTGCACACCCTCTACAAGGAGCAAACCTGAAATATGACATTTTATTGTACAATGTACATGCATATATATGTACATCTCAAAATATTTTTTTGTAGGGGAGATTAGGACGCTTGAATTTGCCTTGGAGGGGGGTGTTTTGTTTTTTGGCCCTTTTGAAGTACTGAACCCTTAATGACCTCTAAAACTGTTCTGTAGTTTACAGAGATGCTGTGGGGAGCATTTGAAGGTCGTATGAAGGAGAGCTGTCTTAACTGTGTTTCTGGTGTCTTTTTGTGCAGGCCGATGCAAAGATTGATGCTCTGGAGCAGAGAGCGAATGAGCTAAGCGGTAAGCTGAGCCTTCCTCACTACTTTAAATCATCACTAGTGTCATTTTTCTAATCGTGTTGATTTAAAATTTGAAATGAAATAATACCATGGTCCATATTTTCTTGAATGTCACTAAATGATCGGGTGAATGTGACTGAATGAGCAGGCAGGAGTATGGATGCTGTTGCAGAGTCTGCTTTTTACGTTCCTTTTTACATGAAAATGCTTGCTGTTGTAAATCCAAGCTGGACTGTATTTTAGATCTGTGCTTGATGTATACAGGTCCAGGTGAATGTAGTGTTCCAGTTCTGTGAATAGCTTGACTATGAATGATGTAGCGCTCTTGTCTCTGCATTATTTAAAGCAGGGCATCGCTGGCGTCACTGGCTAGATATAAGACCACAAGAAAACCACAAGAATTTTGAAGTTACATATCCAGGATATAAAGGACAGTTTCCTTTTGTGCCAAAGGGGGTGATAAAGCCTTATCGTCTTTTCTTATGTCTGAGCCTTAATGAAAAAAAAGAAGGGGGGAAAAAAGTATGCCACTTTTGAAAACATGCACATTAACACCTTCTTTAATGCCTTCTTTCACATCATAGCTCATGTGTGCACCTGTAGTTTGTTCAGTCCTTTTAAAGCTCAGAGCTAAAACAGTGCCTCAGACTCCACCACCCGTATACATAGTGATACTGCAGTGGTTCAGCTCAGCGTAAGTCGCTGAACCTTTTAGCACAATGAGCTGTTTTCCAGTATCATTGGGTCGCTCTGGCTAAAAGAAAAACTATGACTTTGTTGCCGTTACTACTCACTCCGCTTTAGTGAGGTGATAGCTTAGCATAGCCTCATTGAGAACTGAGCTTAAATTATAAGTTAACCATTTTTAATGGCTATAGAAAAACATGTATAATTTCCTTTTCTGAGACAAATGCAGGTCATTCATGATTAAGTGTTAACAATGTGAGCAAAACAGTTTGGCCTGCTAAGCATTTCTGCTCAGCTGCAGTATAAATTGAAAGAAAAAACACTGAGAGGTGAAATATTATGAATGTGTTATTTTAACTTTTTCAAATTTCAAATATTTTTGTCTCGTGATCTTAATAAAGATGTTAAATAATCTTTAAATAGTAAAGGAAGTTCTGTGGGTATTACTGGCTCCTGTGTTTTTTAAAAGGTAGTTTGCATGACCGTGCACCCCAGTCGAACTTCCTGTCTGCCTGTAGTCGCTTCAGAACGCCCACAATCAACCAGTTGATGGCTGCCAAAGTGACACTGAATGATTTTATCACCAGTGTTGTGCATGCAGGGTAAGAGATTAACACTGCGTTCTGTGGGAGACAACACGCCCGTGTAATGCTGCGTGTTGTCGGTAGACAAACGGCAGCAAACAGGATACTCCATTGTTTTCAATGGAGCAGTGACCTGAAAATTCTGCCAGGACCAGCATCAGCAGCAGTCACTGAAACGTTACATTAAGAGTTCAACTTTCACAGCTTTTGCTGTAGGACGCATTGGTGAAATAAACTTTTTATTTTTTTGAGAGCCATGGAAGCTGAACGTCTCCTTACTGAAGTCCAGGCGAACCTGGTCTTATACAAAAATCCTAACACTAACATGTAAATGCAGCATTACATATGCTTATGCTATGGCTCACAGGGTTCACTGCTGTGTCTGTAAATCAAGTGAAACCAGGCCTGAAGTTGCATAATGGATTGGAGCACAGAATAATCTTTCACACAAACAAGCAAAGATATAATCAATAATCATATATTTTATCTAACTATTTCATAGTCGTTTTCCATAGTAAGCAATAAATCAATCAATAGTCCAAGCCCTAAAACTAGATTCTGCATGTCAACATATGTGTTGACTGTTTTGCTGTAGTATACTTATTGCAGTGCCTGGCTTAGAATCAGTGTCAGCTGTGATAACACTATGGAGTTCTGTATCAGTGCTTTCTTTTGTGTCCTCATATTCTCTCTACTCATTCCCTTTTTTCTTGTTTGTCTGTTGCAGAAGTAGAGCTGAAGCTTCAGACAGAGATGGAAGAGAAACGCTTACTGAAGGAGCAGCTTCAGGCACTAGAGGTAAACACTTGCTCACGATAAATGCCTTTTTCAGCAGCGCAGCACTTTCTAAATCTGGGGGCTACAGAGGAGGATTTTGGGGGTGCAGTGTACTTGTGTGTACATCCCTTGTTGAATTCAGAAACTCTTTTCTGCTTGTGAAGTACGGTGAACTTTCTCCTTTATGCTCTGATGCCATTTAATTTACATTTGTATTATCAAAATGTTACGTATTTGTTGCTTTGTTGATTTCTAGACATCTAAGCAGACTGAAATCGGTAAACTTCAAGAGGAGATTGCAAAGGTAAATGTGAGGTTGTTAATAAGAAATTAACATGTTCAGTTGTGCTAATGCTAACTGTATTTATGACACAGCTTTTCATTTTATCTTTTTAGCTCTCTGACAAATTGAAGAAAAAACAGGAGAGGTAAGAGCCACATGCTCTTCTACATTCTTACTTTCAAGACTTCCATCAGGTGCCCCTCTCAACCTTGTTACAACAGTCTGTTAACTGAATATGCTTAGAATAGAAGTGATGTATCACATTCCAGGTCAGAATTTGCATAATCTGATCAAAGAGAAGCAGGCTTAGGTTTTAGATTTGGATCTCTGTTAATCTGAATTAACATTTTGAATTTGAAGTCCCAAATATGGTGATTAACTTTTTAGCAGTTAGCAAATAGAGAACTGCAGCAATATAACCGTTCTGTCCTCTGCCACATTTGCACCAGTGGCACAATATTCTATTTTAAACCCCGAGCTCTTCTTGCAGAAGATAAATGACTGTCATTTTTTCCCTCACCCTTTTGACTTGTACCCACTGTGCCATGACGAGACATTGAGCCACTGTAATGTCCTGTGGCCTCTCAGCCAATTGGCAGCATGCTCTTCATGACATCACCATCCTGCAGCATGGCTCTCAGGGTGCCTTAGTAACCGCATGCTGGTCCAGCGGACAGTCAGCGAGCAGGTGCAATGATTCTGAACGGGAACTTGTTCTTGCGCTGTCATTTGCTCAGTCAGCAAGGCTGCTCCCGCCACTGTGCCACCCTCTGGCCAGCGCTGGGTCTCCGCATCATCATCTACCAACTTTCTCTCTTTGCAGGGATATTTGTACACAGGCACAAACTCAACATCATCCTCGTCTGGCATATCAATGGCTTTTTATTAGAGGTGTCACGATACGTGTGTTAATGTTCTTTTTTGCGATACGGGGGTCGTGAGACGATACACACTGTGAATCGAATACAGTTAAATTTTATGCTGTAAAATGTGTGATAATGGGAATGGTTTCAATAGTTCTATTTAACATGGTCTATAATATTCCTAAAAATCATAACCACGAATGAACACTCTCAGCACTTTAGTTAGCCTACTTTGAAAGAATTGATTAGCCAAGCTGTTTGAAATGGCGAGGATTCTCAGTTGAGTACAGAAATGCACAATGCTTGTTAGTTCTATGTATTATAAATGTGTAATTTAACACCAACAGATATTTTTTGTAAACATTTCTTAGGAAGTATAGACAAGTTGCCTGTGTGCACAAACTTGCAGACTGTTTTAAACTCTATTTATGCTCCTTGCACAGCTTTCTGCGGCTCCAGGGTGAAAAGGAGGCACTCTACAACGACAGCAGGTGGGAGAAAGAGAATAATAAGCTGCAGGCTCTTTCTGCATTTACAAATGACTTCATTTGTTTCATGTGATGTAATAGTGAACCTAATGTGAAGTATGGTACTTTACCCTCCCAAGCAAATATAGCATATTGCAGAGGCATTTTGCTCAGATGTACTGGTGCTCATTTGAATATGCCCTCAGAGAGGAGACAATTGTATGTGTTAGATTACAGCTGTGATAAATGATTTGCATGTGTGTTTTGCTCCAGGACTAAAATAGAGGAGATTCAGCAGCGCAAAGAGGAGGAGCTGAAATCCATAAACCTGCGCGTGCAGAAACTGCAGAATGATTTAATGACTGCTAACCAGGTATATGCTGTGTAACCTGACTTAGTACTTTATTAGTCTTTAAGGAGCATCACATTCTCTAGAAGGCTGCACAATATATTGTTTGTTAGTCATTACTGTGAGATTTTGCAGTATTGATATTGAAGGCTGTAGTATGCCAATGAGCAGATTACCGTCTTATTGCCAAGTGCTGTGAAGTTTCTGACCAACTTCAGATGTAACAGATTAGTTTGAACAATTAGTTTGTTTGAACAATCCAGAAATTCATGAGATCTGAGAAATGTAGATAATTTTGGGCAAAATAATGAAGGCCTTATCTTTAACCATTGTTAGAGGCTTACCAGCGTGTTTTAATGTATTGCAATTGCAAAATGTAGCAATAAAACCACACTGATATTTTGTATGTATTGTGCAGCCCTATTGAGTATTTAAAAGAATGGTTTAGCACAGAAATCAAATTTAGCGATTTTCCCACTACCTCAGATGTATTCAATTAGCCAAGACATGTTTGGTGTCCATATTTCAGTTATTTCGTTTAGTGTGGAATCTTGGGAGTCTATAGTCACCCAAATCTTTTCCGTAAAATACATCCTCAAAACTTCTTTCAACCAGCACAGACTGCATCAGACTACATCTAGTCCCAGTTTCGATTATTTGTGTGTGTTGCCATCAAAATCAGCATCGACAGCACCCTGTTTTGTACAGGTACTGCAGCTGTGAATGAATGGTCAGTGGTGTACTGATGAGCTGAGGGTTTCAGTCTGAGGGCTGGACTCTCAGGAACACCCTGTACAGATTAATGGATTTACACCCACTACTGAATCACTGTCACATCCAATGCTTACTGAATCTCAATGGCTCTGTGTGTGTGTGTGTGTGTGTGGCCACAGAATGTTGCTGAGCTGAAGGACCAGTTGCAGAGCAAGCAGAAAGAGCATGAGATGGCTCTCCTTGCACTCAAAGATCAGGTAAAAATGACCCCTCTTTTCCTGTTCCCAATTCTTTTTCCCATTTTCAGATGATGTAATGAGAAAACACTCTTCCTCTTTCCTTGTTAAAGAAACTGCTCAGTCAAAAATGCTAGTGATGCCAATACATTAATTAAAATAAATAGCCTCCAGGTAACAGCATGCAAATAAAATAATGCTAATTGTGTCTGTTTACATCATTTTTAGCCAGCATATTTGGCCAAGATATTTCTTTAAGAGGGTCACTAGAAGACCTCACTGTCTTAACGTTTTGTTTCTTATCACATTCTTATCGCTTGTAAACCATAGTAGAGTTATTTATTTATTCATTCATTTGTTTGTCCATTCAGTTATGTATTTTTTAAGAGGAAGCTGCAGAAAAGCAGGATTGTAGCGCTGAATCTGAAGCAATAATTCAGTGCAGCAGATTGCCTGTGTAAACTCGGCTAAGAAACAGATGTTCATTATCGTAGCCCTGGAGATCGGAGCCATTATCTCTCTACCTGTCTGCGCTGTTTACAAATGAGCAGACCTGTGGAAAGGAGCCGGAGGTTTGTGTATATGCTAATGTGGGCTGTGATCCCTGTCTTAATCTGCATGCCTGATTAAATTTGGTCCAGTGTTATATAAATCAAGTTCAGAAGGCCTGTTAAAGTGTTAAGTACAAGGTGGAATAACACCCAGTTAAACTTTTGCAGCCCAATGTATAATAGGATGTGGGTATTATAGGCCACTGGCTTGTAGTTTAGTGTTCATTTGTTTTGTGATGCTTTTGACTTCAAGTTTTAAAATGTATTTTTTATATTTATAGTTTTAAACTCTTTAAACTTTAGTTTAAGGCCTGTGCGTGATCCCACACGTATATTTCACACGTCTAACTGCATAGCAGTTTATTTATAGCAGTAAGATAATTCAACTTTCTGAAAAATGTCTTAAATTGAGTTACTTAAAAATGTTTTAAATGTCTTAAAAAGACATTCTGGCCTAAAACGGTTCATTATTATTTGTTGTGTTATACAGTATTCTGCAGCAGAGAAGCGCTGAGGGATCTCAGCCTTATCAGTTTGACAGGTTTTTTTTTTTTAATGTTTTTATGTTATTGTTCATCAGTGTTCTCTCACAACAATATGCAGCAGGCATTACGCAAATACATCATACAGCCATTGGGAATCCCTGTGGTGCCAACCAATCCTGACTGCTAGCCTAGCCACTGATCATTAGGCTAATAAATACAGCTAAACTCTCCTTAGTGTAACTGTTACCTTGGTCATCAAACAAAATAGGTACCAGTATGTACAGTTTTTTTTACTATTTCCTCCAGAGAAATAAGCTGTACTCTAATAAGGTACTCAGCTTTGTAGCAGAAACCTTAGCTATTTGGTTTCCCTCTGCGTTTTCCAGCTAATAAAAAAAAAACCAAATCTAACAGCCCATTCCCAAAAATCCACTCTAGAGCAGTTGTAGTTCTTCAGAAATTCCCTCCGTCTTCAAGAGAAGCCATCAGAAGTTTCAGTTTTTTTTCCCCCTAGTTTTTAAATGTCTAAGTCTCTGCGACACAGCTGTAGGATGCGAGTGAGCATGATTACAACATAACAATGTTACATTTTCCGTTTTGGCCAGAGTGTCTCTTTAAGTCTAATAACTGAATAATGTGGCTAGAGTATCAGTGGCTGCGTTTACATGCAAAGATTGAATACCGAGGTGTTTTTATGCTCTACTCAACAGTCTGATGAAAATCTCTGTTTACATGCACACTACAACTAATCAGATCCAAAATTACACAAATATGTTAGACTACCACTTAGTGTAGTCATTACCATGGCAACGAGCATCACGTGAGTCCAGTCAGAGTGATGTGAGCATCAGAGTGTTACCTGAGTTTTCAGCTGGCATGCTTGTGTTTTTAATTACTTTTTAATCATGTCAGACTCAGGAAAACGTACTTCACATGTCCTTATTAAAGAAGGCTGAGAGGAAGACATCGTGTTCTGAGATACATAAGCTGGACACCCGTTCCACCGCCGTCTTTTAAAGATCAGAGCATAAACTTCGTCTCCTCTGCAGACCAGTTTCTGCTCCCGCCATGTTAAACATTATACACTTTCGCTATGATGCAAACGCACAGGCGCAGAACGTACTTGAACTTTGCAGTTAGTACAGTAATCGGATACAGGCGTTTACATGACTATTATTCTTCTATTTAACAGATTATTTATAGGATTTCCCACCTCATTCAATCAGATAGAATTGTATTCCCGAATGGCCTCAGTTGGGCTAGTTTATTCTGATTGAGGTGTTTACAAGCATGTTTTCTATTCTGATTGAGCTATTAGTCTAATTATTAACGGAGTATCAGGCTGCATGTAAACGTGGCTACTGTAAATCAACTGGTTTCTACTTTTGATTTAGATCTTCAGTGTTTTTCCTTTCATTTTTCTGTCCAGTCTCTGTAAAGCAAAACTTTAGAAGAAGTTTTAGAATCATCAGGAGAGTACCATGTTTAATTGGGCTTTAATGGAAGAGCATGCTAAAGATCACCTGAATAATTAAGGATTAGTGGGGCTGCGGGGCTTTTTGGCATTGGCTCCAACCCCCCCAGTGTCTCTGTCTACATAAGTACTCAGTCCGGGCACCAGCAGTGTCACTGTCTTCCTCAGTGGGGGCACAAATCTTAATTAAAGGCCTGTCTGTGATGGGCAGCTCAGAGAGATTAGCAGGAAAAGTTGGCTGGCCTGCCTATTTTCTCTCTCTCTACTCCTCCTTTTAGTGCTTGACTGTGTCTCTAAGAAGCTGTCCTCGGGTTTTGTGTTGGCAAGCTCAGTTCGACTTGCACTTTCTAATTCTGCCTGGGTTTTTTTTAAACCCCTCTTTCCTTTCTTTCTCTCTTCCTGTACTATCCTGGACTAGATTCATTCTTGATGCGTATTCCGTTTTGATCCTCTCTCCTTTCTTCCCTTCTGCTCTCTGCTGTCACCTTTTATTCTCTCCTCCGCTGCTATTTGTCCCCCCTCGCTCAAATTTCTCCCTTCCGTTTCCTGTTTCCTCATTTCTGTGTGATGTGACACCTCTCAACTTCTCAACTGCTCAGCTGTGGTTTCCTCTCACTGTCCTCTCTTTCTCTCTCTCCCTCCCTCTCTCTCTCTCTCCCTCTCTCTCTCTCTCCCCCTGGCTGTGTGTTTGTTGTTTGATGGAGCTGCAGGTAGCCTGTCAAAGTGCGGTCAGTCAGGAGCAGGTGGAGGGCATGCTGAGTGAGAATGATGCACTCAGGACTAACCTAGCCGCCTTAGAACAGGTACAACTCAGCCTGATCTGTCCATATTCCAGCATCCATAGCAATTCATCACCATCTATACTTCCAATATGATGCCGTTGTGACTAACCTGGTATCCATATCTATCCATTGCAGAACTGTCATAGTCGACTATATTAGTAATTAAGTAGTACTCCTCACACAGTACTAAATATTCTAGGGAAGTTTACTATCACAAACATGCAAATAATGATATCACCATCATCACCACCATCATCATCATCATCATCATCATCATCATCATCACCATCATCCTGACCATCCTGAATTACACTAGGGCATATGAATGTCACCATTGTCTCATACTGTATTCTGAAAAATGATCCACCTGAAACAGATTTTAAGTCATCATTCTATAGAGAACACATGTCTGCACATTTTATTTTCAAATTATAACATACTGGGGGGAAAAACATAACATTTTGTCCATGTCACATTTTATGTTTTTCTGAACTATGTTAACATTTATAAATAGAAATTGTAAAAATGCCATATTAAATGTATTTTCTGTAGAGTGTGTGTTGACTTATTTTCTCAGAAAATCAACAAAACATAGTGTGACCAAGTGCGCAGATGATCGCATGAGTGTCTCCCAACATACTTGCAAGTAATGTGAACATGTGCACTAGAGGGCAGCAGTGTCCAAACCAGAATGTACAGAAAAAAGAGGAAAATCTTATATTTTTTTTGTACTCTCCATCAAAGAATTAATACTCACTACTGTTTTTGTAATATTTTGAGGGTGAGTTGTTTGTAACAAGTAGTGTAATGTAAAATCACGCACAGCTTCGAAGATTTGTTCAGCTCTGCTGACCTCAGTAAAAATTCTCATGACAAACTGCAAAAGTTTGGGTGCCCTAAGTCAAATGATGTTTTGTTGATTCTCTAAGTGAAAATAACGTAGCCCATCCTCTGCAGAGAACACACTTCTGTGTATTTTAATGCACAATTACTGTTATTTTGAATTAACATACTGGGGGGAAAAACATAAAATGTAGCACATTTTATATTCAGCGAATAAATAGAGATCATGTGCTAAAATTTGCAGAGAAATGCCATGTTTAAGCTTGTTCTCTGTAGAGGATGTGTTAACTTATATTCACATAGAAAATCAACAAAACATGTACTCAAACTTTTGCATATGGCTTTGTATCTAAATGTTGCCAGCCTAAGTCACTTAGGTATCAGTTCTTTGTTGTTACTTTCTACTGTTCTCTCTAAACTCACTCTTGCTCACTTTCTAACTTGGGATAGTTTGACATTTTCAGGATTGAACCTCATTATTGCCTAAATAAATCTCCCACTTTTTATGAGAAGACTTGGCGTCTAGCTGTTACAACAGATTTTCAGCAACATTAAACTGCACACAGAACCACACTCTTCAAACTGTATACCGAAAGAGAGCAGAAAGTGTAGAGTCATTTACCATCATGAAAAAAACGCTCTAATGTAATATGGCTATGGTTTGGCTTTATCCTCAGCCTGCGTGTGCGTGTGTGTGTGTGTGTGTGTGCGCCTTACAGATCCAGACAGTGAAGACTCAGGAGCTGAACCTGCTGAGGGATCAGAACATGGCTCTGAACGTGGAGCTGCAGCAGAGACGCACTGAGCAGGACAGTTTACTGGCACAGAAAGATGATCTCAGCTCCCAGCTACAGGTCATTATACACAAACATGTTCTACAGTTCAGTTTTACTTACGTTCATGATTAAATGATATTCTGTCTAAAGATAAATGTTTACACACTTGCATGTGTGCAGTCATTTGCATTCTTGTCACAGAGGTTCCCTAAATCCAAAAGAACATAAATGTTACCTGTCTGTTAGTTGAAACCTTTTGTGTTATAAAGAGATGGTGGTGATTTACTATATAGGCCCATTTCTGCCATATGGTTAAAAGTCACTTTTTTCATGTTCGCGGCAGCAGTATGTCAACAATTGACTAATGTTTAAACTCTGTCTATTGTCTAATCACATCAATCACATTACTGTACTGACTAATGACTGTAACTGAAATGTTACTCACTGAACCTCAGTTTGATGACCATTTGTAACAAAACTGGGGGAATTTGTCTAGACAGAAATGATCAGTTAGCCAAGTAACTTACGCCTAAACCTTAAACTTTGGAAACAAAGCCTAACAGTTTGCTTTTTGGCTTAAGCTGTTTTTCTCCTCTGCTTAAAAAATGCCTCCTTATGCTGGGATTGTGTTCTTTCCTGTTTCAGCTCAGCAAGTCAGGGAGAGGCATTGAAAATTATGGTCGAATGATTTTTAGTTGGTGAATTGATTTTCATTCTCAGTTTCCTGAATATTAAATTGAAATGGAATTGGCCCCCAGCTATTGCTGGAACAAATCTGTTTCTAAGTGCGTTTTTTTCTGGTATCAAGAATGAAAAACGAGAGATAAAGTGTTCTTTCTCACAATTTGAACAAGTCTCAAATGTTGTACTACTTGCTTTTGTAGTGAGACTGTAACTGATAAAGGAATCTATGCTTGCATATTTCTGTGTGATCTATTTTATAATAATTTTACAAATTAAGTACTTTTTTACTTTTGTACTTTTTATTGACATTTTTTATGGTTTACTTTAGCAAAAGACAAAAGACAGCTGCTATGGGGTAGTGATGTCATCATTTCAATCTCTACGTGAACCTTGTTTAAAGTGTGCGATCAAAGTTATTTTACTGTTATGTGTGTGTGTGTGTGTGTGTGTGTGTGTATGTGTGTGTATGTGTGTTGTGTTCTTTAGGAGGCAAACCGAGCCAGCAGTAGACTGTTAGAGCAGATTTCTGAACTCGGCCTGGAGAAGGACAAGCTACAGCAAGAGCTAGAGGAAGCCAAAAAGGTATGTTATTCAAATGTACATTGCACTAGCAAGGAGCCCTCGTGGCCTTTGGACTGTGAAGAAGGCTTAATGGTTTATGGGGGCTTGCTATATTTAAACTCTGCAAATACTGTAGCAATACTATTATATCATCATGTTTTCGTTGGAAACAAAAGGGCTACAATATTGAAATGCCCAAAGGAAAATTGTACAATCAGAATTTTTTCTCTGTGATATGTAGGCAGATACAGCTAAGCGAGCTTTCCCATTGGTTAGGTCTTCATAATTATCCTACATAATTAGGCTGTAATTAGGAACTGAAAGTGGGATCAACCGGTCATGTTTTAATTTGATCATGTTTTAATTTTATCCAATTATACTGTTTTGTGTCTGTGCTGTTATCCGGTGTCGACCAGAGGAGGATGGGTTCCCCTTTTGAGTCTGGTTCCTCTCAAGGTTTCTTTCTCCTGTTGAGGGAGTTTTTCCTTGCCACTGTCATTGGCAACACTCATGGGGGCTCGGACCCGGATTCTCTGTAAAGCTGCTTTGTGACAACATCTGTTGTAAAAGGCGCTATATAAATAAATTTGACTTGACTAATTTACGATGAGTGGGACCGATTACTGAGAAATATAATCACTATAGATCTCCTGGAAAACACTAGATATGTCACTGGAAATATGAGTGATAGTTTAACCAGGTTCCAGTCGTTGATTAGAAATGAAAAACGGAGACATCTGATATTGTCTGATACCTTTACTAAAAGAGTCACTGTAAAACTGACACTTTCAAGGTTAAATATATGTTATAACAGCTGTTATAAACATCAGATAAAAAACATAGTCTTTTGCAAGCATCAAATGTCCATGTTTAATCTAGAACAGTGAAAAATGTTGTATGTTTAGCATTGTTCATACTAGGGGAATAGCAGAAATTACCTTTATTGTATATGTGGGATTACACTGAAGGCTTAGCTCTAATAGTCACAGATGGTCACATGCTCATATGCATTTTTCTGATCTTAGAATCATTCATGGACTTGGAATCAGAAAAAAATTGTACCATCGTCATTATCTCTCTTCCTCTCTCTTTACCTCTGTCTTCAGCCTCTCATTTTCTCTCATTCTTTAATAAGTCTCATGAACTTTTGATCGTAATTGCGACTCCATTAACTTTCTGAGCAACTCTGATTTAGCCCGAAATGAGTGTATTATCTCTGGATTAAGACTTTTTCCACACATCTCTTGGAGATTTTCATTTAGATTGAAGTGAAACCTCTTTGCAGAAGGACAAGCTTTTAATGACAGACTTTTCTTTTGTAATCTTCAGAAAGAGAGTGCCTTGGAGTGGCTGCTGGCTGCCAGACTAATGTCTTTTTGTGTTTCCAGACAAATCTAATAAATGTTTTCCAAATTGAAGCCTAAAGAGAGAGAAGCGATTTTGAATGAGAGCTTGGCCAATGAGTACTTGCGTCCATTAATTTATGTTCAGAAGCGCAGAATGGTTTTTGAGTAGTGATCTCATAGCCCACTCCAATTCTGCCAGCAGCCAAATAGAAGAAATAACAGAAATGAGAGACAAAAGATGTGGTGCAGTATATTGGTTCCTGGTCAAATGAGCAGCTTAGTAAATTGTTAGTTGGATCAAAACAATGCAATGTGTGTTTTCCAGAGGTGACAATAGGAACTATAACTAGGGTGACCCAGCACTATAGAGGCTGATGCATGGCAGTAAACTGTTCAAAAGTTCGGAGTCATTTGTAAATAATTGAAGAGTTTGGTTCTAAAAGGCATTAGACACTTTTTTTTATGATGCATGTTGGTGGGAGTGGACATTACACATGCAAGAAATGTTAATGCTACATTCTGATTAGTACCACCTTTATTAGAGAAATATAAATGTGTTTTCCGTTATACCACAGCTGTTATTCTTTTAAAAAATTGCTATCATAAAAATCAAATGATTATCAAAAGTTGTGACAAACAGATATACAGTGTTCTGGATCTTCAGTTGTAAATCAATAATAACTTGTGCAGTTAGATTAAAATGTCACAAACTAAACACCAACACATAAACCGATGGTTTATTGACAATATGAAGTATTTTGGGAACAACAAGAAAGTATGACATAGTGAAAAACGATGATCAAATAATAAGATGTAATTATCTGTTTATTTTGTGTCATGAAATAACTATGAATAGCTATTTGTTCAGCGAAATTTAGTCATTGCTTTCTGAATATAAAGCATTCTGCATATTCATTTTATGATAAGTTTATTCTTGATACCTTAAAGCTTTCTCAGTCATTACGGAATCATCTACAGTTCTGTTCTTCATCAAAATGTTCTTAGTTAATGGTGTAATGATTTAAATAGACAAATAAATAAGGAATGACTAGATTCTAGTTGATTTTCAGCTATTTTGTAGTCTAGAGACAAACAAAATGTGCCCAACTCTTTTGCACACATTGTAGACAACAGCTGACAATATGTATCCCAATATGTAACTGACCTGTACATCCGTTTGAATTAAAAAACGGCAGTTTCTGCTTTGGTTTTGTTTTCGCCGACTTTAGAACTACATTATTTCTACTGACAAAGAAAATTGAAGAAGGTCAGACCTGAGGCCCGCCAAATTGTAGCGTGAATATTTCGGTGCTGCATAGATGATTGACACTGACCCCAACAGTCACTATCATCATTGGCACGACTTTAAAACATCTCACTGTCCTTCCTCCCTGTGGCAGACTGCAGACAAGCGCAAGGCCATGCTGGACGAACTGGCCATTGAGATGGCGCAGGAGAAGTCCCGACACAAAGAGGAGCTGAGCGACCTGCGGCTCCAGCATGAGAAGGAGGTGCTGAGTGTCCGGGCGAGATATGAGAAGGAGCTCCGTGGCCTCCATGAGGAGAAAAACCGCACGGAGGAGGAGATCCGCGCTCAGCTACGAGATGAGAAGGTGAGAGGGAGAAAGAGAGGTAAATAGGAGGAGAGGTGGGAGTAATAATTTAACTGTTCAGTAGTAATTGTGGTAAGTAGATTAAGGCAATAAAAGGGTGCAGAAAGTTGTACAGACAAAGAGGAAAGGGTGAGAAAATACAACACAGTATTTCTACCTAGAGTGATTACATATGAACTTGGCCTGTGCTGGGGGTCTTTGTTTTCTTACTTTAAATTTGTGACAGCAGCTTTCACTAAAGCGGATGTGGGGACAAAGGAAGTTTTGTAAACGTTGTGGTTATATTGAGGCCTTTTCACCACATGACCAAACAGCCACATTTCTAGAACGATTACCACATATATGTTAGGTACAGTAAATGTGGTTTTAGTGCAGGATATTCACATTAACCTGAATTTTTAAAAGTTCAGTCCTGTCCATGCATGGTTAGCGTGAAATACATCAAAAAGTAAACAAGTTTTTGAACTGGCGGTTAATGAGTTTTGACTGTTACTGTTACTGCAATAACTCAGTTAACTTTGATTGGACATAGGCCTTATATTAACTGTTTTATAGTTGTCTTATTGATTCTTCATTATTATTCGAAAATGTGGAAAATATAAAGGGTTCAAAAATCACAAAATTAAATAAAATGGCTGATGGCTGATTTTTTTGGATGATTTTTATATGCCTGTTTTTCAATCCAAAGCTGTGTAGGGTAAATGAACACATTACACACTCTGCCACATTTCTAGTACTTTTTGTTAGCCCAACTTGCAATTTAAACATCATTAGCTCTTTATTTGGCTAGATTGGTTCATTGTCAGTTTTGTGTTATCTTCCTGATCCCTCTGAAAAATAAAAAATGGATCTGTAGCTGTGTTCAAACTTTTGATCTGTAGTGTTTGTGTTAATGTATATATGGCTGACACGTTGCTATGTTTTGCAGGCACGTACCAAAGAGCTGGAGGGTCTGCAGCAGAGTGTAGAGGAGCTCCAGGCCCAGGTGCAGTCAATGGAGGGCACAAAGGGCTGGTTTGAACGCAGGCTCAAAGAGGCTGAGGTACTGTACAACAGGGTTTATCATTGCCTGAGCATTTTTTACTCTGTTCTCTGTAAGAATACATTTTAATCAGTCTGACCACTTGATGTCAGTGTTGTTTTTTTGTAGTTCTTTGCTAGACTCCAAATACAAACTGAAACACCAAAGCTCCTTTACTGATTTTTTTGTAGTAAATGTTTTAGAAACGCTTGTTTCTCATGTTCAGTTTTCGGCATCATGGCTTTGTGTTTGTGTGAACAGGAGACGATGGAAAAAAACAGTCAGGAACACGCAGAGGAGATTCAGAGACTGCAGAGAGAGCACACTCAGCAGCTCAAGGTAAACCAGGGCGTATTTGTGCATACGTGTGTGGAAGTAGGTGATATGATGATATTTTACATTATCCTGATATACAATGCCACAATACTCTTTTCTGAATACACTATGTTTTCTGTATATATAAATTGTCAGTACTTAAAAACACTGCACATTTACAGTTAATTTGCTGAATTTAACATTTTGGGGGAAAAATACATGTAAAATGTGGCCTGTGCAAAAGTTATGACACATTTTATGCTTTAGGTTTTATTTTTTTCAATATATTAATCACAGCAAATAAAGAGAAAATAGTGCTAACATTTCCTTAAAAATGCCACATTTTAATTTCCCTGAATAGGATATCTTATTTTCAAAATCACCAAAACTTCCAGGGGTCCAGGAGTGTTCAAACTTTTGCATATGGCTAACAATGCTATAGAGAATGTAGTGACGCTCAGTAAAACGTAGAAAAAAAATAAAACATGCTTTTGCAGTATTTTCAGTATTTTTTAAAATATGGCAGTACTGATGTATTTTATGTGTTCCTACATTTCAAATCCCAGAAAAACTAAATTTTCCCTGCAAAGGTTTTGGGCACCTGAGAAAATTTGATTGAAAAATGTATTTATCTGTGCTGTAAGTGTTTATTTGCTAAGAAAACGCTATTATTACACTACGTACAAGTAATATTAATAAATAGTGACTTTATATGTTAACATGTTCTTTTAATCCATTCCAAAACTCTCCTCAAGATAGCCCAGTATTAACTGTAGTCATCATCCAGTACCTGCATTAACTAAGCAGTACTTCTTAAAAGTCGAGCAAGTGAGCTGCTGCTGGAATTTAATAAATCCATGTGATGGATGGGGGCACCAGAGAAAAAAATCTGCAAACAAACCTATGTTCTTCTAACTAGCTCAAAATATATTGACCACCTTTTTTAAAATTTGTGTTTCTTTTTATTGCTATTATCATTTATTTGTATTTATTGTAATGCTATTTGTTTTAGCAGACAAAAACACACGTATTGCCTATATAATTGTGTTTAAACAATGTGCTTAGGTGCCTTACTGTACGTTCACACTAGCAGGTGACAGATTGCTAATATGGCTTCGAGTCTCTTAGGGATGTTTTCAGCTCACTCTTGTTGTCACATGAGGGTGCATATGCTAACTTCTGAGAAGAAAATGTGAAAAATAGGTACTCTATTTTATAGTCGTTTTTTATTTAGAATGAGAATCACAGTTATAAGTTTAAAAGTTTATAAGATTATTTATTTTTTGCATGATACTTTTGGGTACAGGAAAGGAATGTTGGTAGGAACAAAAAGTTCAGAGAGGCTGGAGGTCTAGGTCACCTGTATCCAAGGAATTTGTTTGAGCCAATTATTTAGATTGTTGCCTCACCGCAGCTACGAATCGTCTAATTCCAGAGGAAATAACTAGTCCCCTGTTGCTGTCTCTCCTGCTAGTGTGAATGTACGATAAGACTTATCCAGTACTGTGTGTGTTTGTGTGTGTATATAGTATATCTGTATTGATGAGATACAAACCAAGTGCCATATTCAATACTACAGTATGCCTTTCCCTGTTTGCTAACTGCAGTGGGTTACAGTCAATGAAGTCATGAATGGAAAAGCTATTTATGGCAGCCCTGACTGTTTCACTTATTTAACACAACGTGTTAGAGAGTGGGCGCTGACATGGCTTTCTTTCTGAAAACTCATGAATTTCCTTGGGCGTTGCTGTGCAGAACATTATGTGTTGGTTTTGGATACATCTTTATGAGGATGAAGTTTTCTGTTATCTGTTTTACGTAAATTAATGATGTGTTTAGTAAAAAGTGCATTAAGATGGAACTAATGGAGCCCTTTAATGGACGCTTATGTTTACTTTGTCCCTGCAGAATACATATACAGTAATCAAATTACACACATCAGTGTAGTTTGAATTTGGTATGCTGGAAGAGTTTATTTACTCACAGGAGCTGGTGCAGATGTGGTGATTTGTGTGTATACACATATGAATGTGCATATATATGTACGTGTGTAGGAGAAAGCAGGAGAGATCGAGGCTGTGAAGCAGCAGATCGTCGCCATGGAAAAAGAGAAAGAGGAGCTAAACGGCACCATCGCTAAGCAAAAACAGGTACCTTTTTGACTGCTTCAGTGTAGCTGGCAAAAGTTTTCATACGTAACCCTTTAAGACCTAAGCCTTGAAGTGGCTGCCTGGACATTGTGTTTTAAATTGTTGAGCAGTGATACAACATTAATCGGTCTGTACAGATCTAATGGATAGGCAGTACTGTTCTGATGTATTTTAGATACTGTCTGACATTTCACAATGATCTACAACACACGATACCACATATGGCATATTGTTGGAAAGCTCAGCTTCTCTAGTTTAATGTGGAATGTGACTTTGTTCATGTCTCAAATGGTTGTAAAGTAAGTTAAGTTTAAACATCATGTCTTGAACACGTGAACACGTCGCCTGCACGACCTCCATCCTTAAAGGGTCTAAAAGGCAGATCTAATGAGGACGTATGTCTTTGTGTTTACAAAACTAAATACAGCTCAACTTGAATAGAAGCATATTATGGAAATGTGGTCACTGAAGCAGTTCAAAATGTGATTTGGCAGCAGAACAATGCATGTATGTCATGGAGTTTGCATCGCTTACATCTGTTGCCAGAAGAACAGAGAGTCCTCAGGGATGTAACATTTTCAGAGCAGCAAAAAATTGGCGTTTCATGAGCTCGTTCAACCATTAGATGGTTTATTAAGACTGACCTTTCTGGTGCTTGTGTGTGTGTGTTCTCTAGGAAATCAGAGACACAGTGGATGAGCAGAGAATTCTGGAGAAGAAAGGCAGTTCAGCGGTAAGTGGGCCTATTGTACATTCTCTCTTCCTCTTTTCCTCTCCATCTCTTTCGCACACTCTAACGCACCCATAAACTGCAAGAGACTAAGCGATGAGTCAGGTCTTTCCATTTCTCCCCTTCTCAGAAAGTGAATTAAACACACAAGTGATGGCCAGTTCACTTCTCTACACTAAACGCCTGAGACTGGGTCTTTTACTGAGGGTAGGCGGCCCTCATTACCGCACTGTCCAGAACCAGCAGCCACAGTTAAAAAGGATTTCCTGTGATTTTTGGAAATTTCTGTCAAATTAAATGGTTAAGGTATAAACAAAGCAATTCAGAGTAGTTTCGTGTGAAATACTCTGTTGTAGAGAAACTTACTGAGTCAGAATTGTTCACAGTAGTGGTGATAGGAAGCAGTAGTCTGAAGAGTTTAATGCCTTTAACAAGCTCCCTTACAGAAAGTTACTACATAAAATGGTTATAGATACACTGTCTAATGGCTGAAGCATTGTTTTGTGATAGTTTTGAAATAAGATTTTTTGACCTAAAATATGTTTTTAAAAGCCATTAGTGGCAGAAACATACATGCAAAGTTTTAAAAGGCAAAATGGGTCCCCAAGGACAACTTGTTACTTTACCATTATTAACATTACATATTAAAAACTGATTACATGTGGACGTTCGCTGGTCACTTTGGATATTAAAATATAACGACTATATTTATATATTTATGTAGTCATCACACCCGCTGCTTCCTGTCACCACCACTGTAAAGAAATCAGTCAGCAAGTTTTTCTACAAGTCACCGTTTCAAAACGGTCCACTCTGAATGACTTTATTTCTCAAAATCTCAACCATTGAATTCTGCAGTAAGTTTGAAAAATTGGTGGAATTCCCCTTTAAGAGTGTGTTTGGATGAGAGGCACAATGCTTAACATCCCAAGTCTAAAAATGGCAATGTAATGTCTGAAAAAGCACAAGATACCAGTTTTACGGCTGTTAATTTTAGCAAGCAGTTTGTTTAATGCACCGATAATTTAGTGAGCTTCTGGGTATTCAGGTTTGGATGCCTTTTTCTTAAATATTTGTTGGATGGAGTTCAGATTTCATGTTCAGGGTTCTCATAGCTTGCCACCTTTAATGGATTTTGACCTGCATTTACCGCTACCTTATCAGGTTAATGGTGGTGTGATTTGTGGTCCTGACTAAACTTGGTCCATAAACAAAAAAATGTAAATAAGTGATTATCGTCTGGAGAGTTACGGCAGTGTCATTGTAATACGGATTTAGTGACCAGGGGCTGAATGATTTGGGGAAAATATGTAATTAATAGCGATTTTCAGTGACATTCAGCGACATCCAGTTTTTTGGGCTTGAGGCTTGGATGCTGCATGTAGTGTGCCAGGCTGCCAGTTCATGGGCTCTGCATTACTGTGTTAAATTTCCAGACTTAAAACTTTGAATAATGTAAGCTATGATTAAAATACGTGAACAATAGGAAAATTGTGTACTTTCATATCACAATGTTGAAAGAAAAGCAATAAATCGTTCACATACTATGGACCACATGCTATAGAACCTTACCCTATAGCTTGCTTTTTCCAGATGGTAATTTTTTTTTTTAACCATATAATTACCAGCTGTGCAACTACTAATATTACTTATTTTATTATAATAACTATGCACTGACGGCTTGTAACACTGTTAACATCCAGTGGCTCTCTGTGTTTGTTTGGTTGGAAACCAAAATGCTATGTGCAAAAACTGATGCGTTGGCACCCTTCTTCTGGACGAAGACTGAAAGTCTATTTTATAATCTTTCTAAGAGTTATTCAGAGTATTTGTATGTGTAGTTAATTAGTTGGTTCTGTCTGCATGGCCTATAGCTAAATAGTCTTTTCTGTTGTGTACACTTCTGAACTTACAGATTGGAGTGATTGTACAAAGGTTAAGAAAAAAGGCACATGAATAAAAACAATAATTGTTTGCTTATTTATTTATTTAGATTACTGCGATTGTCAGCCTACAGTCAGTTCTGAATTCTCAACTTGTTGCTGTCATGTCAGGTAGAACGCTTTCAGGCTACATTTGAGGTTTGGTCCAAAATATCAGGTCTGATTAAAGCTCTAGTTTGGTAGCTCTAGTAATCCACACACAGTAGCTTCATGAACCTTTAGAACTGAACAAGCCTGTTAGAAGCCTTTAGATCAATGATCATTGCAGGTCTTTGCATCCTTGTAGCTCTGTGCCTTCTGCTGTTATTGTGCTTTCGCGAGCCGCTGTTCCTGACAGTGTCTTCTAAATGGGTACATGCAAATGTGAATGTAAATTTAAATAATGAGCATTTGTTTAAGTGCTGACTCCCTAACTAGAACTTCTCTCCCTCCACATTTACAGCTGAAAGACTTGAAGCGTCAGCTCCATCTGGAGCGAAAGAGAGCAGACAAACTACAGGAGAGACTGCAGGAGATCCTGACCAACACCAAGACTAGGACAGGTAAGCTGTGCTACCCTGCCTTAAGGCCAAATACAGGATAAGTCTACCTGCACTGCTTTGTTCTGTGTGTTGTGAAAGATTGAGACAGGAAAGCTCCACACCGCTGCATTCCGTGCAGTGCAAAGCCAAGACCTGGGAAGGTTAAGGATAAGCACAATGCTGGTGTCAAGACAAACAGAGGTAAAAACTAACTAAACTATTCTGATCTGACATCACCCTGATCATAAACTCCACACAGCTGTGTCCTCTTCACAATAAAGACCAGATAAGGTACCCAAGATCAAGAAAAACTTTTTCATCCCAACCATATACAAGTGTACGGTGGAACCAAACAACGTTCCTCCAGGACTTTACCAGCATGACCTGTGTTTACAGGAGCACACAGTACAAATCAGAAAGACAAAGGCCCAATCCCATTTCTTATTTTTACCCCTACCCCTTGTTTTTAAGTATCATCTTGCCCCTTGGAACTGAGTTGCAAGGGGTAGTGATTGAAATCTTCCCTATGAAATGGGACCCTCAAATAAAAAAGAGCATTACTTCATTAACAGCTACTAGTGCTGCTCTGTAGGCGACCTGCCAGTCTGCAGTGATAGCAGAGGAGGGTGAAGTTCAGCAACCTCACTGCTGGGCTTTAGTTAAATTGAGGGAAACATATGCCTTCAAAGAGGGGGGATACAACAACTATTTATTATCGCCCACCCCTGATTCTTTGGTGACATTAAGCTGAAGTTGGCTCTTCTCCAGCTTCTTGTTTTTGAATTTTCCCGTTCCACCTCAAATGGACCAGCAGTTACATTCTGGCGCTTCAGGCATAAGTACTGCTGGATTATTTAAGGTGGAATGATAAATTGAGCTAGATAGCTACTGAGACATTATTATTGTACTATTAGTGATTTTTTTTAATGCTTGTATTGAAACGACATTAAACTTAAAATTAAGATAATACAATGGTTGTCGTAATTTTCAACAGAGAAAATTCTCACATTTGTGGGTTTCTTTGGTTGCTTGTGCAGCCATCTTGCCGGTTTTTTGTTTTTTTTTTCCTCATAACATTCTGTTTGGAGTGTGCCTCTGAAAAACCTCCATTTGGAGGGCCATGTAGCCCTAACACTTCGCCGTACCTCTCTATCTAAAAAAAAAATCGGAACACCCTACCCCTTTGCCGTGAATGCGCAAAACGGAGGGCTAAAGGCTAAGTGGTAGGGGCAAGGAGTGAAATGAGACTGGGCCAAAGTCTACTTAAAGTGCCTTTAGACAAGACAGTGTTAAATATATGATGTTTATATGATGCATGTTATCAATTGGACAAATTGCTGTACACTACAGGAAACATAGGAGGTGACATGGCTAATGTTTCAGTGCTTCATAAAACAAGAATTGCTTGTCACGCAGACAAAATGTTGAATGATTGCAGTGGCAAAGAGAGAGAGAGAAACCCAAGGAGGCAAAACAGTCATTAAATTGAGTAGTAGTCAGTTAAACCTGTGTATGAGCAGTTGTGAAAAATTGATGATTTGAGCGATAAGTTGTAGTAAATACATTTTTGTTAAACCACAGATGTTTTGCAGTTCAATATATAGTTTCCATTTGAACCAGAAGGGGAGACAGACGTTTAACTAACGTTAAGAAAGAAAAAGACTTCAGGGTGCTGCTTAACTTTGGGTAGCGAATTTTAGATAACGAATTGGTGCGTAGGATTCTTATGACATTTAAAAAAAAAAAAAAGCAGTACCTTCTGCCAATTTCACTGCCGTTTTTGATAATAATTGTTAAAGAGATTAACATACTTGGTTAACTGACTGTAGAAATAATCGATAGCTGCAGCCCCACTGACTACCCTGCCTTAATACGACCAAGGCCAGGACCGGTAAACTCCATGCCATCCTTCTTCTTCCCCCTGTATGAATATTATATGCAGACTTTTCCTCTCAGTGGGCAGAAAAGCCCCAGGGTCAGTGTGGGGCGGGGTCGAGGGGTGTGAGGATAGACAGGGTCGATCGGTCACATGTCAGATGGTCCACTGTCCCCTTAGATGGTCTGAACTGCTTTAGGATGTGCAATTGCTGTTACTTCCCGTTCATGCAGCATGAAAGATTTAGAGCAGGTAAGTGAATATGCAATGCTGCACATAAATAAGACAGCAGATGAAAACTCTCTGTGCTCTATGCAGGCGGCTGCTGTAAAAATGAGACAAAGTCCTGGCTCGGACTGATGTGTACTCATTTATTTGCTTGCTTAACACTTTAAGGGCATGCATGACTGTGTTATGTTCTTGCATTGGGCTCCAAAGGGATAATCACCAGTTCAGCATCTCTGCAGTCTCGTCTGAGAACAAATGTATTACAGAGGTGGCAAAAGGAAGGTGCTGGAGTGTTTGAGACTTGGTGTTTGTTGGTGAAATAATTGAGAAATCTTTAGCAGAAACAAATTTTAATGTGGTGTACTACAAAATGTAGGCAGGCTGGAGAAGAAATCCCCTGACCTTCACGACCACTTACTCGGGCATTGGTTAGTTATCTTTTTTAAAAAATACATTGAAAAGAGCTCTGACTGATCCAAATTTGTAACAATAGGTAACCAGATGTCCTGGTTAATTTCTCTTAAAATGGGGTCCTTGCTTTTAGGTGAAGTTTTATTTTTGCCCAGTTGAGCAAGTGATTTCAAGGCAGAGTATCAGCGTGGTCAACTGTATTACCTGAAGTTGCCACATACTTTTGTTAGAAACTTGTTCAGCACTGGTGTCTTAAAAACATGGACTCCTGTGGGGACCCTGACCCAAACACATAACTATCAAGGAGAGGCAGGGTTGTAAATATTTGATGGTGCCCCCCTCTAAAAATGTGCCACAGCGCCACACGTATGCATATTTACTCTCTGTAGATTGTTGGTGATGCCAGGGCACTCCTCTTTTGGGTCATCTATTATTTAAATGTCTGTAAATGTTTAATGGTTGCTCTACAGAAAGTTTAGAATCAGACATTTTAAAGTAGGGAGCTTTATCTTCGTCCACTGTCCAAAGGGTCTGCGACTTTGTGCACACACATGTTTGTGCTCTCTTTCTTTCTCTCTCTCTCTCTCTCTCTCTCTCTCTCTCTCTCTCTCTCTCTCTCTTTTCTCAAATGCGTGCACCTTTAAAAGAGCCGCACCTAGTACTTGTTGGGGATGACTGTGCCTTTTTTTTTGCTGTCATGCTGCTGTGTAGGGATGAGTCAGAATTTCTAATTTTTTGAATAGTCATGAAAATTTTACAATTTTTGATAAACAATTTAGCTTCTCCCTGGCACTATATGTTCTCATATTGAGGAACCACATGAGATCTGAGCTCTGTACTCCATCGGAGGGCAGTGAAGAGCCTGCGTTTAACATTTTGGTAACATATTTTAATAGTTTCCATTGAAGGAAACAGGTAGACTTCTGCAGCCATCTAAAGGCTACTGACCACTGTACAAAGGACAGCTGCACACATAAGAAGTGTTGCAAAAAAGCACCGATATCAAGCTCGAGCTCATTTTAAACTCATTTTATAGATTTAATGGAAGGAAACTCGCTGAATCATTTAATGAATTTGTCAGATTTGAAATCCGCATTTTCTCACCAAATCAGATTTTTCGTTAGGCTGTTTACAAGATCTTTTAAATTTGACCTATAGTTGACAATAGTCTGAACAGATCATGCTCCTAAACTGACCTGCATGCGCAAAAGAACAGTGATTCATGTTTCAAAATCACTTCAAACATAAGTGTCTTCTAATTTTGTTTGCACAGAAACATTAGGCTACCTGAAATGTTTTATGAGGTCTCAGCAGCGCAAAATTATGACGAATGTCGAGTTGGATTAACATAAAAGTTCCACATATGAAAGTGTCCCAAATCGGAATTGAAAATGCTCACACTGACACTCAGATAACACAGCTGAGTCACATATGAAGAAAAAGATTTGGGCCACTTTTACCTGCTTCTAAATTGCTGATGGATTTCTTCACAGTGGTGGAGTTGTAAACCAGGGACACGAATGTCTGCAGTGCGAAAGTAGCCAATTTGTTTACTTTACTAGACAATCAGTGAATTTGCATATGCCTTATGAGTTTGTATATACAGCGTTGATGATAGTAAAATTGTGGTAAATCAGAAAAACATGAGTTTTCTTTGGGGACTGTTTTTCCTTACAACCCTTGCCAGGTACCTCTCCGCCATGAATGTCTCTAGAACAGAGCATTTCACATTAAAGCACTCAATGATTTTTTTTACATCTTAATAATTTTTTTTTTTTATAAAATCTGACTGCCCCTCCCAGTGGGGTGGTGTATGAGTATTTTTATGTAATGCTGTAGATTAAAAATGGCCAAGATGACAGTGTTACTGTGGACACAAAGTTATGTCTTGGCCATTTTGCCCTCCCTTACCATAGATTTATGTACAGCCTTCTTTTTGTAATCGCTAAAGGCTGTTACACACCAAACTGGATGCCAATAAATCACACAAAAATACAAAATATTAAGATTTTTTTTCTGCATTAAAACTATGTACACCAAATGTGAGATTAGTTTATGGAATTTTGGCAAGTTACTCACACTGTGAAAAAATGGGTGGAATATCTATCAGAAGGTCCTTTGTGTCTCATGAAATGGGCAACATGTAGCATTGTGTAGGATGTTTTCTACTCTGGACGAACAAGAGTGGAGAGTTTTTCCACCTCAGTCAGGAGCTAAAACAGCTCTTTTTCTCACAGCTCGGATCTGTGTAGCTCCACATGAGATGAAGCACAAAACGCATGAGCCAAATGTTTTCAAGTGCAAGTATGTGTTGCTCCTCACAGAATGAGCTAAGAGGCAACGTTGGTTACACTGGGCTTCATTGGGCTACTGTCCATTTTGGAAAAGTGAAAGCGCTTCATGAACCTTGGATTGTTTCCACAGCTCAGATGTTTGTAGGTTGAGCCATTTGAGCTGCTTTTGGAAATTCTAATCCTTTAGCAATTGAGAAAATGTTCTAGTTGCTGGTAGACAGCCTGTTCGTCATCTTGGTTGTCTCAATGCCAGAGACGACCGTGATGTGGGAGTTCAGGTCGCCTGCAAAAGTTTGCAAGAATGGAACAGAGGGCAAATAAAATAATGTTGCATCTTCACGTTTGAAAAAATTGCATTTAGTGTGCAACATATCGTCAGTCATACACATGCTACATCTTTAAATTACTTTGTGCAACTTTGTACAGAGCCAAAATTTTATTCCGGCATCACCCCAACTGTCTGTAACATTGAGTATAGTTTTACTACTTGATGCAATAACACCAGTTTTAAAATGTCAAAAGCTTCTTTTTCGAGAAGTGCAGTTTGAAAATGTGGCTGTAATGTGGTAGTTTAACGGGGTAGTTTTGTTGACAGTGTTTACTAGTTTATGCATTTGCCCAGTTATTATTTATAAAGCACATCAGAAGTCCTGCTGCTGCTAATTCAATTATGCAGTTGCTCTGGCTTTTTTATTAGCAGTTCCCACAGCTCAGGTCCATTGTAAATTGTGTGTCCTTCTTGTGGTAGTTAAAGAAAGTCATTAGCATTAGCCTTATTGAGTCCAGCCACATAGATTTCTGGAGAAATGAAGTGACTGCAACTGCAGTGTGGCAGTTTGCAGTGTGGAGTCCAGTGGAGAGATTGTTACCAAAGCAGGCGAGACTTACCAGTGCAACATTATGTCAAATTAATAAGTTATTTGTTTTCTCTTTCAAAATAACCCTTTTCCTGGGTTGTTGTGAATGCTTGTAAACGCCTATGTATTTTGGGTGTCTGTGTGTGTAGGTCTGGAGGAGCTGGTGCTGTCTGAGATCAGTTCTCCAAGTCGGACGCAGCAGACAGGTGACAGCAGCAGTGTCTCTTCCTTCAGCTACAGAGAGATGATGAAGGAAGGAGCCTCCGCGCAGACCACCAATAAGGTATCCCACGTCCCGCGATACCCCTCAAACATATACACACATACACACTGCCCCAAATTAAGCTTATACCCTACATTTCACATTTTATTTTATTCAGTAGTAACTTTGTAGATAGAAATACTGTAAGCTGGACACCTCAGTGTGCTTTAAAATGATTTACTTAATATTATAAAGTGTTTTGGGAGCACAGAGAAGTTAATAATATAAATAATAATAATAAAATAATACTGTAATTATTTATTTATAGTACTTTTCCTTATCTGCCTGAGATTTGACCACCACTTTTTAGAGTTGTAGAGTACTAACATCGTAGCATAATCATCTCAATATTTTATCTGCATTTTTAAATTGAAAACACCAATATCAAACTTTCGGACTACAGCACTGTGCAAAAGTACAAGGCACATTGTTTAAAACCGTTTGTCTTGGCAAATATTTGTGTTTGTGCTTGAATTTTTAAAATAAATGCAAAATATATATATTGACCACATATATATATATATATGGTCAAAAGTAACAAGAATTTATTTATTTTTTTTTACAAAGTAATTGGTATCTTTTGAGTTTGTTATAAGAAGAAAGTTTGACTCCAGGTTTCTCCTCAATGCCCAGAGCAATCACATGTGTTTTGTTAAATCCATCAGCAGTATTCTGCTGCTCCATCTGCTGCATACTTGTGTAACATAATGAGCGTTTTCTGAGCAAACAGTGCCCACTGTCTAATTAAATAGCTGCTTAAATATGTAAGAGGGCTGCGTGATACTGGCATAAAATGCAATGTTCGATAAAGCTGTTGTATATCACGATAATGATTTGAGAAGTAGTAGACTACTATGTCTCTAGCTGGATGGAATGCAAGTACAGACAATTTTTTGGGATATGTAAACAGAAATCTGACTGACCTCTCTTTAAACTCCTCTTTGAACAAGTAACAGAATACAAAGTTACAAACGCACCATTGACTATTGTGCAAAATAAAAAGAAATGAAATACTTACAACTACTTACATCAGAACTGCAAGGACGTTTTTGGGGAGTGAAGGGCTGAGAAACAGTCAGCATTTCCTCAGCAGCTTTGTGTATAAAGACTACAAAATCAAATATATAAGAATAAATATATTAAGAATAAATACATACTCTTGTTTCATAGTTAGTAAATATTGTGGCGTCAGGCATGCTGGGTTGTATTTAACTAGCAGAAAAACAGTAGAGCCTGAGCTAGCCTGTGTGCTGTATGTTTTCGTCTTTGTTGCAGCTGTTTTGAGTTGCATTTCCATTTAGGCGGAGTTATGGGCTGATATTTTAAGGTCTCCGAGTGTGTGCTTTTTAGTTGGCCGAATGGTTAAGTTGCACGTCTCCTGTGTGGGAGAGCAGGTTCAGTCCCAGCACGGAGAAGCAGGCTTGTAACGGTTTGTGCCAGTAACGTAAGGACGTCTCTCTGGTGCTGTGTGTAAGAGGTAATCAGATCTGTCGACACCACTGTAATGATGAGTATAGTGAAAAATCATATAGTGATAACGATAAAAAATATAATTTATCGTGCAGCCATAATATGTAATGTAGTAAATGTATATGTAATAATATGTCTCTTATGTGTATCATATATTTACTGTATGTAAATACCTCAGGGTCTGTTCGCCAGACATGAATTTGTACCTGTCTTAACCCATCAATAAATGCTTTTTTCAGTTAAAAACATAAGTGAAATATAACACAAAACTTAGGTAAAAAGCACTTTACAAGGTCTGGGCTACTTTCAGTCCTGTAGGTTAGCCTAATATTGTTGTCCTGACAATGTACAAAAAACAAACACACTTCACATGCACACAAATACACACTGTACACACCTGTACACACTTTTCCAAACTCTGTCCTGATGGATAGAGCACTCATAATGTGTCCCTGAATAGCCGGAGTTGAGCGCACACACAAAGCAGCTTCTTCTAACTCTGTTGCCACGGACAACTACTTGTCTCGGCAGCTCCCTGAGCTCATATGCACTTCTATGTCCCCCTGTAGTTATTAATAGACTCCTGTATAGTGTAGAAACTATAAATACAGTGCCTTAAAATAAACACTGCAACAGAGTGTGTTTGCCTTTACAGGCTGAGAGCAATGAAAGGACTTCACAACAGTCAGTGTAGTGCAATAATGTACATGATTTACTGTGACATTGAAGGACTTAATTCTTTCAAAGGAGAATCAGTCATATGCAAATTTTGGATTTTCAGTTGGACATTCAATTACATGTTTGTTGATTTTCTGAATTAAAATAATCTTCTATAGAGAACACACTTCTTGGCATTTTAATACACAATCACTGTTTATTTGCATTAAATGTTGCCTGTGTTATAACGCATTTTATATTTTATTCTTAAACTCAATAAATTGATATTTTGCACTATAATTGCATAGAAATGTCATATTTAAATGAGTTTCCTGTAGAAGATGTTGATTTATTTTCACTTAGAAAACCGACAAAACATGTAATTTGACTAAGGGTGTGCAAACTTTTGCGCAAACAGCACTGAAGTTCTGAGCAGTTCCTTTATTTTTTCCTGCCGTCTACCTTTATGAAACGTAGTAAAGCTGAAATAAAGCAGAAAGTCTGTGAACAGTGTATTTAAGTGGAATCGTCTTTGTCCTTCAGTAAAAGAAGCTCATTTAATAAGCCTGAGGGGAAGATAAGACTCCGAGGGGAAGGAAGCAGTCGCAGGGGACTGCTTCCAGTCTCGGGGACGAGCTGACCTTCTTTTGATTGGATACACTCCAGTTCCTCCGAAATGAACAAACTTCTGGATGCATGCTGAAACGAGCAGTCATAAACTGTACAAACAGGCTAGCCTTGAAGATTAAGGAAATGTCTTTGCTCAGAAATGATTACTGCACAATGTGTAGCCTTGATGGTCAAACACATGGCCCTGCAGTTTGACTGGGAAACCTGACAGTCCATGCTGACGAATTAGGGCCTAACTGATGTATTGATTGGCCAATAATATCATCGGATATTAACACTGCTCAGATTTATTTAACATTCTACCAATACTATGCTGATAATTAGTGACTTGTTTTGTAAATTATTTGCTGACACATGTGAGGCACCAGTCGTGGTTAAAGGACTGAATAGTTTCATGTTTGTACCATTTACTATATGTATATTATTTAAGACCAAGTCTTTCAAAAGTGGCCTAGAAAGTCAGTTTGGCTCATCAGAAAGTTGCCTTGCCCTCACCACCTCACACTGAGTGCGTTTACATGCACTTAATCATAGAACCATAATCGGATTTCTGCAGTTATCTGATTATTCAAATGATCATGTAAGCAGCATACTCTGATCTCTTAGATCAGAGGAAGGTCTAGAAATCTGATTAAGAAATCCCATATAGAGAGCTGGGTTTTAGCTCAGTAATAAGATTTCTCAGTGAATGTAAACTCTTACTCTGATTTCTTTCATATTTCTCAGTCTGCGCATGTGCGAAAACAGATGGCGGCACCAGAAATAAGTAAGCAGTGTCGCCGCGAGACGCAGCAAAACACTTTTGGACCAACGCTGAAAATAACTATGTGCTTGACGAAATGAAAGATTTAAATATTCTTCATCTTCTAGATGTTGTCTGTTCATATATTTTTAAAGTGAAGTGGTGCAATGCTTTGAAAAAAAAAAGCCACTTTATGAAGTTTGAGTTTTACATTACGTTTACATCTTCTGTGAGTTTATTTGCCCATTTATGATTGACAACTGACAATCATATCAGGCAGTAACGCACTGTTTAACTGAAACTGTTGAAATCTGTTGATTTGTTGACCAAATAAAATTATATTGATAGATATTGTCAGTTGAGTTTTTAGCTCCTTAAAATTGGTATCAGGCCCAATACATTCTTATCTCTCTCACCCTTTTATGAGTGCTTTGCTTAGCAGCTAATCGTCAGCCATGCTCAACCCATTTCAGCTCAGTCCAAGCCACAGAGCAAAGACAAATGAAGGATTTTCCAATCGCTCGTTTTAGCATCGCAGCAGCTATTTGGTTTCAGAGCACCTTCATTGTGTTTGTGTAGTGTGAAATTTTCCACGTGGATGGATGGATGGATAGATGAAGGGTGGTAAATGGCTGTGCGCTTCAGTGTTTACATTCTGTACAGGAGGCCTGTCTGTTCCACCTCTACACCTCAGCACACTGCAATTACTCACGTCTGCTCTGAGACGACCGTCAGAGCCGAGAGGAAAACACTGCGGAAGTGAAAGTGGAATTCTGAGCAAATTTCTTTCTTACTTTTCTCCACCTCTCTTTTTCTTTCTTACTATACTTTATTTTTTTCTTACATACTTGATTCCACTCTTTCCTTCTTTAATCCATTCTTTTCTTGCCTTCTTACGTTTTCCTTCCTTCCTCCCATCCTTCCTTACTTATTTCCCTTTCTCTCTCTTTTTAACTTTTTCAATTTTTTCTTTTTGTCTGTCTGTCTGTCTGTCTGTCTTTCTTGAAAACATTCTTTCCTTCTTTAATCCATTCTTTCCTTACCTTCTTACTTTTTCCCCTCCTTCCTTCCTTCCTTCATTTCCTTTGTCTTTTTAACCTTTTCAATTTTCTTTCTTCCTTTTTTCTTTATTACTTACTTTAATCCATTCTTTCCTTCTTCAATCCAATCTTTCCTTACTGTCTTACTTTTTTCTTCTTTCCGTCCTTCCTTCCTTCTTTCCGTCCTTCCTTCCTTCTTTCCTTCCTTCCTTATTCCCCTTTCTGTCTTTCTTTTTAAGCTTTTTTTTCTTTCTTTCTTTCTTTCTGTTTCTTTCCATCCTTGCTTATTTCCTTTTCTCTCTTTTTAACACTCTTTTGTTTTTCCTCTCTTTGCAGTCAAACACCAGCAGTCCTCAGTCTCAGAGACCTGCTGATCTTTCCGATGATGAGGTTGGTGAACTCTTCCAGAGACTGGCGGAGGTGCAGCAGGAGAAGTGGCTGTTGGAGGAGAAGGTATGACCTTTGGAACCTTTTTATTGATGTTGCTCAACAATAGTATTGATGTGTCTTTTTTCAAGGGGAAACATCAGGATTTTGGATGCCTTTGTGTAGAATGACTGAAGTGAAGGTTTAATTATGGGTACAACAGACTTTTCTGTTGACTGGTGAACGTTTATATTCTTATCTAATAAGAGCGCAGTGTGTGTACTTGTGACCCAAAGCCACAAAAGTCCCAAAGTCAGCTTTGAATAATGTGCACGTATTGATGTTTTCGGTGTAAGTACTGTTCAGTGTTTCAGTGTATGTGTTTGGAATGTCAATACTTGGTGAAATAGACCATATTTTTCTGCATGCTTTGGCATTTAGCATGCTGCATTACAAACCTTTTTAATCTGAGAGATTTGAACAATTTCAGTCAGGGGTATATTACAAAGGTCAGTTCAGGGGTTAGCTAATGGTATGTTCTTAAAATAGCCCTCAGCTGGGCTGAAGAAACTCCTGAAAAAAGTAGACTCTCTATGTCTCATTAGATTAGATTAGTGAACGTAAATTGTGCAGTGAGGGGGCAGTTCAGCATCTCATGTTTGTTTTTGTGTCAAGGTGAAACATTTGGAGGTCAGCTGCTCCTCAATGGCTGAAGACATCTGCAAGAAGAGTGCCATAATAGAGACGTACGTCATGGACAGCAGGAGAGGTAAAAGGCTCACTGTCTCTCGGTTTGTGTTTTTGGCCCCAGGCTTTTTTGCTTTATCCTGAACTGTAAGGCTTCCTTTTTTGTGGTTTTGGTCAGCTAATAGTCGTGCCTGAGTTCCTTTTTTCATTATTCATCATTTGGAGAAAAACAGACGGCTACAGGAGCATGAAATGAAAGGCTGTCGCGATGATGCGCCCTTCTGTACTCAACGTCTGCGTGATCTTAACTTAGATACTATAATCAGGTGTTCCTTGAGAGTTATGCAGTATTCTCCGATTTTTTTTAAGCTGCGCTATTATAAATTTAGGTTTACGAAGCCTTTGATGCGCTGTGCTTGGAACAGTAAATATTTTAAAGAAACTTGGATCAGTACCGTCTTCAATATGAAAGTTCTGTCTTCTATAGTCATGCTTCATTGCGTAAATCTCAAGATAACAAAAGAAGAATTTTTTTTAAGTCCATGTAAACAGCTGGCATAAATAGTTGTATTATTACATTTTGAACTTGACTCGCTGTCTTACTCCCTCTAAATGTTTCATCGTATCTATTTATAATGGCACTATTTTTAGTATGCCCCTGCACTGCTCTCGGATACATTTTGAAACAGCACTTTGCAAAGAAGAGGGAGGAAAACGAAGAATCTAATAAGTCTGTGATCTGAGCTTCAGGCCCTCCTCCAGGCTTTATGGGTTTCTCTTTAATAAAGACTGTGTGACTGTGGAGGCCTGTGGTTTTTAAAGCTCCTCATGTAGCATCTTCTCTGCTCTTCCCTTTAGTTAGATTAGCATCAGACTGGTCCCTCTGTATGTGTTATCTGTCTGCCTCACCGGCCTCTCTTCCAGGCCAAATGAGCATTACTGTAATGAAAATCGACTTTGAGCACGAATGGGGCTCTCTCTTTCTTTCTGCTATGTTTTTTGTCACTTCTGAGCTGGTTAGAGAGCCATTCAGGTAGATTTTATGGACATGTGTGCTCTGATTAGGTGTGTACTGGTGACAGGATGTACTAAATCAACCCCTGATTGATTTACCAAATTTACCGTTACTAATTGGTGTGCTGAGCAGTAGGGAGTGGTATTCTGGTTTATTTGATGTACTCGCTGAAATTGTTCCTCAAGTACGAGTTTTGTCATAACAGTTATATTAATGTGGCACAAAGAAGTGCACAATGTACAGACAGTGCAAGACAGGCTACCAGGTTTAGCTGAGTAACTGAGTCATAGATGTTTTAGTCGCATTTCAAATAAAAATGGAAACACAGAGACCCTCGATCACCTGCTCTTATCTAGTTCATTGTAAAGTGGTCCTTTTTGTTTTTGAAGCAGCGAACATTAAGGAATGGCCCTTTTTTAGAGTTACATGGACACCAGAGCGACTGTCATGCCTTTGTTTCCTTTCGTGCTACCTAAGGAGCCACCTGACTTGGTCAGCTGCATTAGATGATGCTGCTGTCTTGAGTATCTGAGCGTAAAACAATCCAGCTGGTACTGATAGTGTGAATAACAGTAATAGTTTCCAGTTTCCAATTTCTTGAGTGTCTGTCTGTCCGATCCCTGAGTATATAGGATGCGCAAAAGAGATGTAGTAGTTTAAGATAAATAGTTTCATTCAGGTGCCTGTACAGGACCTATGTTCAGTTACATTTAAGCACTTGTACAAGAGTTACATTCTGGCGCCTATACGGATACTAGAATGTACCTGTTGTTGCATTTAAAATGGAATGGAAATTTTGAACAAAAAGCTGCCAAATAAGAAGCCAACTACAGCCTTGTAGGAACACAGGGCTTTGGTCATTAAAAATGTTCCTTATTAAAAAAGTGAAGGGCATCTGCAATGGTTTTATTTGGAAAAATGTGTAGATATATAATATATTATATATATATATATATACACACTGTCAGAAATTTTCATTATGCCATTTTTGGCTACACCACCCACTACAAGTATGAAGTAAAGTCTTCATTTCAGTTTCAGCGCAATCTAATGGCTTAACTGAAGCAGCATTTGGTAGATAGATTGATGAATATGTAGACAGACATAGATTGATAGCCTTATTTAAGCGTAATAAAAAACACAAATTAAATAATTAAATTGCCTTAACTTGGCCCTGAACCGGCTCATTCTGTTGTAAATACAGCATCTGTTTCAAGGTCAGGAACGTCTAAAAAACAAAGCAATCTCTATGTAAATGATGTGAATGTCAGTGAATGGTGGTGATGAATGAATATTGTTTTGGATGCATAATAATGTTACATTTTAAAATTGTTATAGGGATGCACATCTCACCAAGCCCTGAAGGAGGTTTTTCTTTGAATTTAGCGATCCTGGAGAGCACGACTGAAGGTGAAGTTGTAGTAAAAAAAAAAAGTCCCATTTTTGAGAGCTAGAAAGCACCCATGACTTGAAATGACCCACTTTGAGATCTGGAACTGGTCTGAGCAGCTCATAATTCAGCACTGGAGTCAGTATTTGACAGCTGGACTTGCTTGTGTGCAAGGAGGCACTTGAGCTCAATAATATTGCCTGGGTTCATCTCACGAAAGTCTGGCCCGAGTCACAGAGACTGCACTGCAGGCGAAGGATAGATCGTAAAAAGCACTGTGGCCTTAAAGGGAACTGACTTTTGAACTTAAGACAGGGAGACCAGATCTCCTTCAGAATTCACCTGCATGAGTCCTGGTTAACTGTAAAAGCAGATCTGCTGTGCAGCAGAAAAGTACATTTTTAAGGAAAAGAGCACCGTCACTGGGCCATTTACTTGGGACTGGAGGATTGAACTAGCCAAATTTATCATCTGCTTAATTGCACAGTTATTTAATTCTAGAGATGCCATTAATGTGAAACCAGGTATCGGTATTGAGCTGATATAAGCGGAAAATGCTGGATCGGATATGGGAGGGAAGGAAATAAGGAGTGTGATCCAATCCTGGAATAAATCTGTTCTGTGAATTCAGTGAGAAATGTCTTATTCCTAATTTATCTTGTATGGTCCAAGAAAACCACTTTACCTAAACCCTGCAGCATTGACATAAATGTCCACTAAAGCATCCTGGAAGATGTCGTGTGCTGTCAAGAGTTGTCGTGACGGATTATGTCCAGTAATAAAACAGTATCATGTCACTATTACTGGTAATTGTTGTGGCATAATGTCTTAATGCTTGATGCCATGATGGCTAACTAGAGTGCACAGCAAGAATTACCATGTGACATAAACTGTCATACATTAAACATTATATGTTACTGACTTATGACAACTCACAACAGCATGTGACCTCAGCCATGACATGTTTATGGCCTGGTTATGTCAGTGTTATGTAGCAGTGTTCACGTGAAGTGTTATTGAAATATGCGTGATTTAAATAGCTGGTTATTTATATGGCTGGTTCAACATTGCAATCAATCCTACTTGAAGAATTGCAGTGGTAGTGTAGCTTTAAACCATTACTAACAGTAGGAGTCTTGCCCCATATCCTTTTCTAACAGGACCTTAATTGACGTACTTCGGCCATCTCTGTTTGTGCTCAAATAAAGACTTGAGTATGAGCGCCTTCAGTAAGAGTCGATGCTCATTGTCCACAGAGATCGGATCTCCTTTCACTTTGCTTGCAAGTTTCTCTCTCTTTTTTTTCTCACTCAAACACACAGGCGAACTCAAAAGATGCCCCTTTGGTGAGGAAAGTCATACGAGGTTGCCTCAAGTGACCTATAAAGACCTTGACCGGGTCTTGTTGAGATTATGGTCATCATTGCAAGCATGTTCCCCCACCCCTATTATAGGAAAATAGGTTACTTTTCTGTGTCCCCAGTAGAGGGGAAGATGATGTGGCTTCCTCCTGCCTCCCCTATGTGCTTTCCTCCTGTTTTAATTTCATGACTGACTGATTTAACATTTAATGCCAGACTAGATTCTATTAAGGCCAGTGTCTTCTAATTGTAAATATTGTGCTATAAAGTTGAAGGTCTCTGAACCTTTGGGGCTGGGCGCTTGCTTTCACAACTGCCCTGTTCAGATTTGTTCTATTAAGGATTTGGGGAATAATCAGTACCTTTTGAAGAAATCTCTTAATTCCTGTTGCCTCTGGTACTGTATCATTAATCCTTATAGTCGAGGTTTATGTGAGAATGCTGAAATTGTGGACCTAAAGTCTTTTTTTTTCTTTTTCAGTCTTCAGTCTTTGCCCGGACATTTGTTAAAAGTTGAACTGAGGCTGTCGAGACAAAGTTTCTGAAATCTTAGAAAAAACCTGGAATTCTGGATGAATAGCTCCTAATATGATCTGATGTTAATGAGTAATGTTTTATATTTCATATCCTTATTGAACAAATAGTTTAAACAACCAAGGCACATTTAATGAACTTGAAAGAGGCTAGTTGGAGTCTGGTGTTCCATTCAGTCAGTTAACCTGCCCTGCCATTTAAAACCCACACGTTGGTTACTTGCTGTTCATAACATTTCTATTCTCATCATGACTCGATCAAAAGACATTTCTGAAGGGAAGTGATCAAAAGAGACTTCAGAAAAAAAAGCTCACAGGACCGGAAAGTTTTACATAGGATTTCTAAAAACTCAGGCCTCCATCAGCCCACAGCCTGGTAACAATGCAGCATCGTTGCTAGGCCCGTCATAACCATGACATTTTAGCTGTGGGTTATTTGGCATCTAAATAATTGTGATTTAATTGTCTTTATTTGTTAATTGTATGCAGCTGTTAAGCCTAAAGCGGCCAGGCTGATTAGCTATTTTGCTTCCTAGGTGTGAGTATTTAGTAGCTCCTAACCGAACTTTTTGTTGTTTTCAAAAGATCCATGATCCCTCAATAGAAGTGTTTCCTGCTCTCTTTACTTCAATGATAATTTGCATCAACTCAAAGGGTAAAAATGCACCAAATTCACATTCTGTATGCTGTGACATAAGCATATGACTGTGAAAGCTAAGAACTGTGGAAAATAGTTGCTTTCAGCTTAAATACTAGTGCTTATGTAACTGGAGATCTGTGCAA